AAGATAGGGGGTTAGAGATCAAGAATAACATGACTTTTGATATTCACAACGATGATGGCTTTATGTACTGAGCCTGTGAGAATGAGAGTGCATAAATGCCATGTATAAATTCCACAGGGCTAGGTGAACAAGACGGCCAGCAGCGAAAAGGGAAACGAGAAAGCGGTGAGGATTGTGGATAGTGGGTGCTTGGTGAGGTGGTGGAGGGCACCCCTGAAAAATGACGGGATCGAGTGTGCAACAGCGTGCTTTGGTAAGGTGCGTCCACCCCACGCCGAACAGGCCAAGTCCAGTTGGCCTACCGGAGAATTTTGGAGGGCGTTTCGCATGGGATGAGACATGTCCACTTTGTTTATGGGAGGTGGTTGGAAGGGTTTTTTTTTGTGATTTTGAACCATATTGAGAGTGTTGTTGAAAGTGATGGGAGAAATATGACCAGACCACGGGTGGACGACGTCAGTAGGTGGGTTCCATATACAAGACCGGGTGGTTTTCCGAGCCCGCGTCTGAGCCAAAACCAACTCAATATCTCGCGGTTGTTGGATATTTAGATAATGCTGTATAACAAACAACAACCTTGAGCGGTTGGAAATGGAAGAGGTTGAAACACAGAGGCGGGTTAGGGCTCACTTGACAAAGCATGGTTTTCTATCAAACTGCCCAGAGAGAGAAAGAAAGGGGATGTCCCCGCTTTTGTTAGTGATGTGGAGGGGGGGGGAAACTACTTTGTAACCCCTGCATATGGGATGTGCATCAGCTTTTTTGCTCCACTGGATTCCAATGCTGAACGAACGAGCCCCCTTTTTGAAGATGGGGTCGGGTTGGTTGGTTGTGAAAAGGGGGGGCATCTGTAAGGCGGGTGGTAGGCGGTAACGAAGAGTATAAAGGATTTCCCTTGTGAAAGGCATGAGGATGGCAAATGCAAGACAGGCATCTCCAAGCTGGGCTGTTTGGGGATTTGTTGGGGGTTAGGTTTGGGCTGGGATGGTTGAGGGGTGAGGTGAGGTTGGATGGTTTGAGGGGGCCATAGGTGGAAGGTATTTGACAGGATGGAGAGAATGTTTATTCATGTGTGGCTTCTTCTTTTTGTTCTTCCTTTTTCCCAAGTTTAACAAGAACAAAAAAATAGGGGGTCGTGAGACAAGAACATGGAGAGAGAGGCGTGCCCCAGAATCACTGGAGAGTCCGTGCCCGCCCTGTCCAACCCCCCCGCCAATCCAATCGTACCGACGCGATACCACTGTCTTTCTCCTCTTTACCTATCAACGAGCATTCTACAGTGCGCCAGTCCATGCACGCTGTCTCTTTTTTTCAGCCCCCTAAACTCTAACGACGGGTTTCCTTTTCGTTTTGTCTTCCTTAACCTTTTCTCAAGCTTCACTTCTTGAGCCCGGAACGACGACGACGAAGAAGAAGTTGCAGCAAGAGACAAACGACACTCTGCAGCGGCCATCCAACTCCACCACAACCCAAGGGCCATCGTCTAGTACCTAGGCTTGTTGCTGTCAGTGCCAGACAAGAGAAGGGAAAGCGGAGATTCCTCGACCGCCGAAACCTAGTGACCGCTAATTAACAATTAACAGCCCCGTTAATTCCTCCCTTCCCACCTACTCATGAATGCCTTCAAGTTCAAAGGCAGACGCTCCGCCTCCAACTTGATTCGCATCACCCGCTAGTTGCCAGCGCCCTTTTTTTTTTTTTTGCAGCCAGCCAGTGCTTCTCAGCCAAGCCCCCCCAGCACAGCTCAGCACAGTGCCTTCCGCCAGTTGCGTGTTCGCCCCGGCTTCCGTAACCCACGACGACGACGAATACCAACCTACCAAATAACACAGCCAGCCAACCACCTCCCAGCACACGGTACCCGCCTCCAGCTGCGAATACTGGCCATCCTTTCTTCTCCAGGCGACAGCTTCCAGTAATAACTGGATTCTTTTCCCAACATACTTCTTCTTTTAATACCACATTCAAAGCTAGGGAGAGCTCAAGACCAGAAAACAACCACATCCAATGTCTGAGAGTTATGATGTTGGCACGCGAGCGTGGCAGCCCGACGCAACCGAGGGCTGGGTTGCGTCTGAGGTTGTCAAGAAGACGGTAGATGGGGACAAAGTCAAGCTCATCTTCCGGTTAGAAAATGACGAGGTAGGCAGCTTTGATACTCGCTGGAAGCTCATCCAAAACGCTGACTTCTGTTGTGTTTGCAGACCAAGGAACTTGAGGTCTCGCTGGAGGCCCTCCAGTCCGGCAACGACCCGTCCTTACCTCCTCTGATGAACCCTACCATGCTCGAAGCCAGCGATGATTTGACAAATCTTTCCCATCTCAACGAGCCTGCCGGTAAATAGCCCAAAGATGATATGGCGGTGGAGGATGGAGAGATGGCACGAGGCAACAGCATGCTGACGATATTTGCCGGAATACAGTTCTGCAGGCCATTCGCCTTCGATACCTCCAAAAAGAGATCTACACATACTCCGGTATTGTGCTGATAGCAACCAACCCCTTTGCTCGCGTCGATTCCCTCTACGTACCTGGCATGGTGCAAGTATATGCCGGGAAGCAGAGAGCCACACAAGCTCCTCACCTGTTTGCCATTGCTGAGGAAGCTTTCATGTAGGGACCCGCGGTGGATGCGAGGTTTGGGACACAGGCGGTTGGCTGACGCTGGGAATAGGGACATGCTGCGCGACAACAAGAACCAGACCATCGTCGTGTCTGGTGAGTCCGGTGCTGGTAAAACTGTCAGCGCCAAGTACATCATGCGATACTTCGCGACAAGACATCCATCAGACAGCCCGGGATCGAGGGCAAAGAAGGGCCCAGAGGCGATGAGCAAGACCGAAGAGGCTATCCTGGCCACCAACCCCATCATGGAAGCCTTCGGTAACGCCAAGACGACGAGAAACGACAACTCCTCGCGGTTCGGAAAGTACATTGAAATCATGTTCGACAAGGAAACAAATATTATCGGAGCTAAGATCAGGACATATTTGCTGGAACGGTCGAGATTGGTCTTCCAGCCGCTCAAGGAGAGGAATTATCACATTTTCTACCAGCTCGTAGCCGGTGTGACGGACAAGGAGCGCCAGGAGCTGGGTCTGCTGCCTATTGAGCAGTTTGACTACCTCAACCAGGGCAACACCCCGACGATTGACGGCGTGGACGACAAGGCGGAATTCAAGGCGACGAAGCAGTCGCTGACGACGATTGGTGTGAGTGAGGGCGAGCAGGCCGAGATCTTTAAGCTGCTTGCTGGTTTGCTCCACCTCGGCAACGTCAAGATCGGGGCGTCCAGGACGGAAAGCGTGCTCGCTGCGACGGAGCCATCGTTGGTCAAGGCTTGCGAGATTCTCGGTATTGATGCCCCCGAGTTTGCCAAGTGGATTGTCAAGAAGCAGCTTGTCACTCGTGGCGAGAAGATCACTTCGAACCTGTCGCAAGCTCAGGCTATCGTTGTCAGGGATTCCGTGGCCAAGTTCATCTACTCTAGCTTGTTCGACTGGCTGGTGGAGATTATAAACAGGAGCTTGGCGACCGAGGAGGTTCTCAGCAGGGTCAAGTCGTTTATCGGTGTGCTCGATATTTACGGTTTCGAACATTTCGCCAAGAACTCGTTTGAGCAGTTCTGCATCAACTATGCCAACGAGAAGCTGCAGCAAGAGTTCAACCAGCACGTCTTCAAGCTTGAGCAGGAGGAGTATCTTAGGGAGAAGATCGACTGGACCTTTATTGATTTCGCGGATAACCAGCCCTGTATCGATTTGATTGAGGGCAAGCTCGGTATTCTTTCTCTCCTTGATGAAGAATCCAGGCTGCCTATGGGATCTGATGAGCAGTTTGTCACCAAGCTCCACCACAACTATGCTGCCGACAAGCACAAGTTCTACAAGAAGCCAAGGTTCGGCAAGTCGTCTTTCACCGTCTGCCACTATGCCATCGACGTCACGTATGAGTCGGACGGTTTCATAGAAAAGAACCGTGACACGGTTCCCGACGAACACATGGCGGTACTGCGCGCGTCGACCAATGCGTTCCTCGGCCAGGTGTTGGATGCCGCGTCGGCGGTGCGGGAGAAGGACCTCGCCCAGGCAAGCTCTAATGCGGTGAAGCCGGCGGCCGGTAGGAGAATTGGCGTCGCCGTCAACCGCAAGCCCACTCTGGGAGGCATCTTCAAGTCCTCGCTGATCGAGCTCATGACCACCATCAACAGCACTGATGTGCACTACATCAGATGTATCAAGCCCAACGAGGCCAAGGAGGCGTGGAAGTTTGAGGGCCCCATGGTTCTCAGCCAGCTCCGCGCCTGCGGTGTTCTCGAAACAGTCCGTATTAGTTGTGCGGGTTACCCCACGAGGTGGACGTATGAGGAGTTTGCGCTGCGGTACTACATGTTGGTGCCGTCGCAGCAATGGACCTCGGAAATTAGGCAGATGGCCGATGCCATCCTGACCAAGGCCCTCGGCGCCAACAAGGTGGCCCCGGGTATGGACAAGTACCAGATGGGTCTGACCAAGATCTTCTTCAGGGCGGGTATGCTTGCCTTTTTGGAGAACCTGAGGACGACCCGTCTCAACGACTGCGCCATTCTCATTCAAAAGAACCTCAAGGCCAAGTACTACCGCAAGAAGTATCTTGCTGCCAGGGGTGCCATTGTCAGCTTCCAGGCTCTCTTCCGGGGCTACAGGGCCCGCAAGGAGGCTCAGGAGCTGCGGACGATCAGGGCTGCGGTTACCATCCAAAAGAACTGGCGTGGTTTCAAGCAGAGGAGAGAGTTCCTCGTTATCCGCAACGATGTCATTCGCGCTCAGGCCGCTATTAAGGGTTATCTGCGCCGCAAGGAGATCATGGAGACCCGGGTTGGCAACGCTGTTCTTATCATTCAGCGCAACTGGCGCTCGAGACAACAGCTTCGTGCCTGGAGAGACTACCGCCGCAAGATTGTCATTGTGCAGAGCTTGTGGCGTGGCAAGACTGCTCGGAAGGAGTACAAGGTTGTCCGTGCCGAGGCTCGTGACTTGAAGCAGATCTCTTACAAGCTGGAGAACAAGGTCGTTGAGTTGACGCAGTCTTTGGGTACCATGAAGGCGCAGAACAAGGAGTTGAAGGTGCAGGTGGAGAACTATGAAGGGCAGGTTGCCATTTGGAGAAATAGGCACAATGCTCTGGAGGCTAGGACGAAGGAGCTGCAGACTGAGGCCAACCAGGCTGGTATTGCGGCTGCTCGTCTGGAGGCTATGGAGGCGGAGATGAAGAAGCTGCAGACTAGCTTTGAGGAGTCGACGGCGAATGTGAAGAGGATGCAAGAGGAGGAGCGACAACTTCGGGAGAGCCTCCGCGCTACCAACGAGGAGCTTGAGGCTGCGCGCCAGCAGAGCGAGCAGTCCGAGGTTGAGAAGAACTCGCTCAGGCAACAGATTGCTGAGCTTCAAGAGGCACTGGAGCAGGCTAGAAGAGCTGCTCCCGTCAACGGCGAGCTTGTCAACGGGAACGGACCGGCGTCTGCTGCGCCGGCCGGTCTCATCAATCTGGTGTCGTCCAAGAAGCCCAAGAGACGGAGTGCGGGTGCAGAGCCTCGCGAGATGGATAGGTACAGCATGGCCTACAACCCCCGCCCTGTCTCCATGGCTGTTCCTGGCATGAACCGCCAGACTACTCTTTCCGGTTCGACATTTATTCCCGGTATTGATAGCATCGAGATGGAGTTGGAAGGTCTCCTTGCCGATGAGGAGGGCCTGAACCAGGAGGTCACCATTGGCCTTATTCGCAACCTCAAGATCCCTTCGCCATCCAGCAACCCTGCCCCTACCGACAAGGAGGTCCTTTTCCCTTCGTATCTCATCAACTTGGTGACGTCCGAGATGTGGAACAACGGCTTCGTCAAGGAGTCGGAGCGGTTCCTTGCCAACGTCATGCAGTCGATTCAGCAGGAGGTGATGAACCACGACGACGAGGAGGCTATCAACCCCGGTGCGTTCTGGCTCTCCAACGTCCACGAGATGCTGTCTTTTGTCTTCCTCGCCGAGGACTGGTACGAGGCCCAAAAGACGGACAACTACGAGTATGACCGCCTGTTGGAGATTGTCAAGCACGATCTCGAGAGTCTCGAGTTCAACATTTACCACACCTGGATGAAGGTACTCAAGAAGAAGCTTAACAAGATGATTGTGCCCGCCATCATCGAGTCGCAGTCCCTGCCGGGCTTCGTCACGAACGAAAACAACAGGTTCCTTGGCAAGCTTTTGCAGGGCAACTCTGCTCCCGCGTACAGCATGGATAACTTGCTGTCGCTTCTTAACAGCGTCTTCCGCGCCATGAAGGCTTACTACCTTGAGGATTCCATCATTACCCAGACCATCACCGAGCTGCTCAGGCTTGTTGGCGTGACGGCGTTCAACGATCTGCTCATGCGCCGCAACTTCCTCTCTTGGAAGCGTGGTCTGCAGATCAACTACAACATCACCCGTATCGAGGAGTGGTGCAAGAGCCACGACATGCCCGAGGGGACGCTCCAGCTGGAGCACTTGATGCAGGCGACCAAGCTGTTGCAGCTCAAGAAGGCGACGCTCAACGACATCGAGATCATTCAGGACATTTGCTGGATGCTGTCGCCCAACCAGATCCAGAAGCTGCTGAACCAGTACCTGGTGGCGGATTACGAGCAGCCGATCAATGGCGAGATTATGAAGGCGGTGGCGTCGAGGGTGACGGAGAAGAGCGATGTGTTGCTGCTGCAGGCTGTCGATATGGACGACAGCGGGCCGTATGAGATTGCGGAGCCGAGAGTGATTACTGCTTTGGAGACTTATACGCCGTCTTGTGAGTTTTTTTTTTTTTTTCCCGTGAGGGTACAAGTGAGAATGTCTGCTAACTAATGATGAATAGGGCTCCAAACCCCACGGTTGAAGCGCCTGGCCGAGATTGTCTCCCAGCAGGCTATTGCCCAGCAGGAGAAGCTCGAGTTTGGGTCGCAGGCGGGCGACTTTGACACGCACAGCATGAATGATCTTCAGGAGATGGAGGAGGGCCCGGGATCGATACAGGCGAGCGCCTAGGTGGCTCCTCGCTCGTTTCTGGGTTTTCATCAACAACAGCAGCCGTCTCCGGGGGGGTCGAGCCATCATCATCAGAGGCCGGCGAGTGTGCTGTTGAGTTCGTGGAGGAATGGGAGTGGGAATAATGGACCGGTGCCGCCCGCCGCCAGGAATGTTATGCTGAAGTCTAGGAGTAACAGCGGATGAAGGGGGGGTGGGAGGGGGGTTTGTTCTTGCGCAGGAACGGGGGGTGAGGTGGTTTGGTTAGTAGTTGAGAGAAGTAGGGGTGGTTGGGGTGAGTGTGAAAATTTATGCCACGGATACACTACATATGGGGTGTGTTGTTATAGTGGTGGTTTCATGAGGATAAAATTACAATACATACCTTTTTACAAAGTTGAGTCGGCAGTTGGGGGATGGGGGTTGGCGTTGGAAGATGGATGGATTGATGGGTTGGTTGGTTTGGTAAAGGGAGGAAAAATATTAAATAGATATGATAATTGTTGTTGGGTGTTAGACTTGTTGGAGGAGGGAAGGAGGAAGAAGAGGCTTGCTTTACTGCTGGCTGGCCCGGTTGGGGCATTGGTTCTGTTTTTTTTCTTCTTTTTTTTTTCTGTTTGGCCAAACAGAGGAGGGGAAGGGTGTTGTTTCTTGTAGCTAGCTGTGTGGTGTTTAGTTGTTGTGTAGGTAGTAGAAGCAAGAAGAGCATGAAAGATGATTGATGGTTTCGTGGTTTTATTCTTGATTTTTACTTGAAGTGCTTGGGTGGGTGCATGTAGAGGAAGTAGGGGTTGTATAAGGTGCATAGATAATCCTCTTATATAAGGAGAGGATTTAGGATTTTGAATATTCTATGATTGATGTTGCTGAGATCATCGTCTGTTGTCATTGATAGGTTCTGGACGAGCTGAGTGGCTGTAACTTTGGTAATTGCCATGTATCATTACGCCATATAAAATCTTACTGAAAACCTCGTTTAATGCATTCTGATATGAGATGAACGGTTTGATGCCCGACGACTCACTCACTCGCTGCAGCCATCTTGATGTTGATATTTCACACAGTTTAAGTCAGGGAGAATGTGTGTCTCATGGTTTTGAAAATTTTACTTTCCTTAGCTAAGGTACTGAAAACCAATCGTCATGTGAAAAATGTGACCCATCAAATTTCCCCATGCCATCCCAACTCCAATTTTGATAAGGAAAAGACAAGTTAATTTTGGTTATTATCCTTCTTCCACTGCTCCAGCCAAGCCTCAATCCTCTCGACATTTGCCTCTAGCTCGTCGGCGTCGCCGGACTGGAGCTCGACGACGATCTCCTCGTCGTAGCTGTCGCGGGCTTCTTGGAGGAGGACGTCCATGATTTCGCTGTCGAGGTTTTCTTGGAGTTTGTGGTCGGGGTAGTTTCTATTCTTCCCGTCAGCGATCAATTCATCTTCCTCCTGCCCTGTCCCACACCACTCTTTCCCCCCTCCCTTTCCAGACATGTACCCTCCAAATCCAGAGGAAGGGGGGGAGGGGGAGGGGATAACCTACCGTTTACTCAACCGATCAAACAACACCTCCGTCCCGGCGCGCAACACAACCACCAAGTCAACCCAGCTCTTGGGGAAGAGGTCGCAGGCATGCCAGTCGATGATCCACCCCCCTTCCTTGACCTGCTCCTCGATCGCGTCGAGGAGCTTGTCCTCGTCTACGATCCAGGACTGGTATTCTTCGTCGAAGCCCTCGTGGCAGCCCTTGTCTTTTACGACGTCGTTGATGGAGAGGTGCCGGAGGGGGGTGCGCTCGGCTAGGAGGGAGGCGTGGGTTGTTTTGCCTGTGCCTGGGGTGCCGGTTAGGATTATGTTTGGGAGGGTTCTTGTCATGTTTGCGGGTGTGAAATATTGGGGGTGAAAGGGGGGTAGAATTTTGGAGGTATGGATGGTGAGAGTGAGTGGTGAGTGAGATTAATATGAGTAGTGGGGTGAGTGAGAGGAGAGCGGGTGGTGAGAAAAAATGTATAAGTGGAAGTGTGCCCCCGCTAAAATTTGATTTCGGCGTAACGGGTTGAAACGTAAAGTTGCGTAAACAAACGATTTTTACTGTGTGCGCCAAGTTGTAGAACACGGATAATTGCAAAAGGTTTATATCTATTCATCTCGTCTGATATACCACACTTCATGTCTCTCTTCTTCTTGTCAGCTTCGAACCCCGTCTCTCTCACAGTCATACTTTAAGATGGCTCGATCGCGGGATTCCGACTCCCCTCCCATCCCATCCCATCCCATCCCATCCCATCCCACCTTTCTCAACTCCTCCTCAACCTCCCTGGTATCTTGACCTCTCGGATGCCCCCGCTGCGTGTACTCGAGTTTCGAAGGCAACTGGTGGAACTGGTTTCCCTTCTGCGCCCGGCTGGTGGTCTTGATCGGTGCTCGCGTGTAGTTCAACAGCGGATCATGTCATGCAACGGGAAAACATTGCTTTCACCAACGTGAAAGAGGGGCGGTTATCATTTCTCCCTCGGTTTCCGTGTCGCTGTTATCCTCAATGTGTCCCCTCTCGCTGCGGTAGGCGGTAAAAATGCTGCAAGCTCTGGTCTGAGCACACGGGGTGGTCGTCTCCCATGGCTGAGCCCTCATCAGAGCATCATGGCATGAGCTAGCTGGTACCAAATTTATACCTTCTCCGTGACTGGAGCCCTTCTGGACTATGTTGACTTTCAAGAAAAAACTGGCTATGCCAAGTGGTAAGGCTGTGGTCTATCGACTTGTTAGCCAGATTGCATCACCACCAACAAGGCCAAAAGAATCCATAGCCTCTTCAAAACTCACCTGTGATACGACCACCCACCCCCCTCCCCCTCCCCCTCCCCCTCCTTCTCAACAACCTTCTTACTCCTCTTCCTCCGTTTAGGAACCCACTCCTTCGTCCCTTCCTGCCCCCCCGGAAGAAAAACACCACCACCACCACCACCAAAGTCACTCTCCGACGATACCACCACCAACCCAGGCATCTGCGCCGAAGTAGCAAACCCAGGCGGCAACAGCAGTCCAGGCATCAAATCCCCGTACCCCATCGTGCTGCTGCTGTTCACCATCCCCGCCGAAACCCCATTGTTGAATCCATTCCCAAAACCGGGGTCAAGGCTGGGATCTACACACGAAAAGTCAAAGCTGCTGTTCCAGTTGTACAGCCCGTTGTCGAAACTAGGGATCGAAACCGCTGCTGGAGTAGTGGTGGTGGTATACTGTGGTGGGACTTGAACAGCCAATCCACCACCCTGACCCTGCCCATAACCCGCTGTCGGTGGTGGTGGTGGTGATTGAGACAGGGAAAACGACGAAAAGTGAGGTTCGAACGTGATGGAGGGATAGGTCTCGTTTTGTTGGTGTTGGTGGGTGTGGTCAAACGCTGGTGCTGGTGCTGCCGCCGGGGGTTGCGGTAAACAACGGCGAGGTCCCCGGATAGGGGGGGCAGGCCTGTTGTCCACCAGTTTTTGTCCTGTGGGCGTTGACACCCTGATGCGGAGGTTGGTCTCGAAGGAGGAGTGGCAGGTGATGTTCATGCGGGAGCAGTTTTGGCAGGAGGGGGAGCCGCCGAGGCAGCGGACTTTGCGTTTGCGGCAGGTTAGGCAGCCTGTGGGGGAAAAGGGTGGTTGTTAGCTGATGTCAGGAAAGTGTATGCATGTATATTGCTTTCCCGTCCCTCCGAATGGGAGGGAAAGATACAATGGTGATGATGATGATGATGGGTGTGAGTGAGGTAAGGCAGGTTGGGGTTGATGACAAAGTCTTGGCAGGGGGTTTACTCACCATGGAATGTCCTCTTTAGAGTGTCTGCCATTTTTGGTTGGAAGTAAATGGTGGTTGGTATCTTGTTTGGGTAACTCGTAAGAAAAAAGGGTAAGATGTAGTAAGTGGTAGAGTATGTCCCAGTATTCAACACACAACTTCAATATTTTTATAGCTATACCAAAACCTTGTTTGCTGAATCTCCCTCGAGCCGAATCCGAACTTCCATGTGAGGGAGGGAGCTTCAAGTTATATTCCTCCATACTGTAACCCAGTTTCTTCCGCCCCCCCCCCCCCCCTCATCACAACCACCCCCAAGTTTATACCCGCTTCTTAATTCCGAGGTTCCTTTCTACGTACATGGAGTGGCTGGAAGTAACACACACAATCACCCCTCGTTTCTCCTCCTCCCCCCTCCATGATGACATACCAGCTAAGTAGTTTGTGTAGGTAAAGCAGCAGCCAGGTAGCCAGGTGTGGGAAGAACATGACGCCCAGGATGACAGCTTCGGGAGGCGGATGTCCTTTGCTTGCAGCTACCGCCGTACGCTAGAATGCCGCCCCGTGCGATTGTCCGGGGTTTACTCTAGGTAGCCAAGTAAAAAGAAGGGTGTGTCTCCGCAACGTGGAAAATGGTGATTAACTCAGCAACCGTTACACCCACTTCCGAGATCCCTGCCTAGCCCGGGGTCAAATGGTGGAAAGTTGATCCTATCTTTGTTTTCACATGTACCAAAGTATTACCTAACAAAAGACTGGAGGGAAAATCGAGTAAGATCGGTTCCAGGGGCCTTGCAGCATGTGCGGGAATGAAATAGTAGAGCCAGTGGGTTGAGTAATCCGGTCAACTAAACACAGCCAGAGCATGCACTGTTCTGCCAATCACTGCTGGTTTAGTGATCTTTGCAGGTGAGACGGCAACCTCCTTTCACCTATGCCCTCTCTGGACGTCCTCAAACCCACTCCTGTTCTCCTGATGGTTATGTGAATATGTACTATCATGTAGCCAAGGCTTACCTGCTTCAGCCTCAATTGCTGATCTGGCGCCCAATCACAGCCGATTCCGCCCCCCGAGACTGTCACGGGAGAACCCTTGCGATATGCAAGATATCAAGTCTGTGACTCTTCTGTGTTGTGGTGTCGCCTTCCCAATCTAGAGATCAAGTCCACTGATATTGGTTGCTTCCTCATATCTAGATGTGCGTGTGGTATTTCCCTCACTGTTTTGTGAATCCGATCAGCATTCACAGCCAATAACATTGTCGCTTACCTCATCTCTAACATCAAAGTTGGAATCTTTTGGCTTCTCCGCGGCCACTAAAATGTCCATGCCCGTGGTGTTGTTGTGCCACAGCCTCCAAAGCCAGGCCATAATGAAGCCGGAAGCTTGTTTCGATCGTGTCGACCGATCCCTGATTTGCAATGTGCACTGCGTGCTCTGCCGCCGCCACATTTCGGCTCTGGAAACGTCCTTGCATGAACAATTACACAGCTGATCTGTAAGTGTTCATTTGTTTGGGGGCGAAACCTTTCATCGAAGACAGGCAATGAATACCTGCCTGGAAGCTAACGGAATACTCGCCTCAGGGGGACATGGGCCTAGTCGATGAGCTCTACAGGGCTCTTCTACCGTGCCCTAGCATTATTTAGACCATACCTTGATTCGCCTGTGTCACGCTAGAGGTGCTAGTTTGACGTGACACCCGATATTAGCCATGCGTAGGGCTTAGTGAGAATATTGCGCGTGGCACCAACCTACTCGGCAGGGTGCAATTGACTACCGGTGTTGAGGAAAGGGAGGGAGTGGCTTGTTGGCCGAACGGCGGGTCCCAAGTCTGGTAGCGGACTGGGAGAAAGCTTGTCGTAGTTAAGAATGGAAAGCCAAGACTTTTCGACTCGGAGATCTCCCGCTTGCGCCAAGACCGGATGTAAGTGAGTTGCTGACGATATCGTCCCCAAAGCTGTTAGCTCCGAAGTATTCTTCAAGCTTCACATTGAGTTTCTTCAACGTTGAGAACAATATTCACGTGCTTCCCCTCGGCCTGTTTGGAGGGATTCTATCAGTGACAAGAAAGAACTTTCGATAGCCTGACGGCATGACCAGAAGCTCGTATCGACGCAATGTTACCTCGGCATCCGGTTTTCCTGGGCGATCCGGGTATGCGCAGTGGGCTCTTCGTTTGATTCCATGAGGGCCAGATGTCGGTGACGGCACTGTCTCGCTCTTCGGCCTTGACGTCTTCACTGTGGTGAAGATATTGCATCTCCTTTGACAGCATATTGTTGCCTGGGGCCATGTGGGAGAGGCAGTTCGACCCAGGCACGAACAAGATTCCTGTTTAGGCATCATGGGCTTCGTTAGCGAAGTCCCTGGCGTCCACTGGGGCGGATCTCCCGGGCTCGAATGTTCCCATGAACAGGAGGGTTCAACGCCGACACGTCATAGCTGCCGACGACGAGAGCTTGGGCCGTAAGATGGAAAACAAAACTAGGTAGTTCCATGTCCTGGTAGAGAATAGTCAGCTGCGCCCCAATGGGTAATCTTTTAGTGCGAAAAACATATCGGCTGGGAGTCACAGGCAGCGACGGGATCACAACTAGGATTTGACTTCATCGTGACAGCATGCACAACAGGTTGATGATCGGATTTCGGTGTTGCAAAGATCGGTGTTCGGGTTCTGAATCCGCTGACGACAATTGGGATAGAGGTCATCTACTCCAACGTCGATGGTACAGCTGACAAAGGCGGCATCCGACGGTTTCTTCGGCTGTATGTACGAAGATGTGGCATAGGTACGCTTCCGACGAGATCGAAACACTAATCCGAGGCAGCGTCGGTTAATAGCTCGCAATGCTTCCCCCCGCGCCGCGCCCTTTTGCTGCAGAGCTGCTGACCACATGCGCTGGTACCAAACTTGGGTGACGGCGATCTTGCAATCGGCTTGTTTGTGCCTCCGCCATTTGGAATAAACGACGGCAAAGTCGTAGAGGTGTTTCATAGGGGATGTAGCGTGAAGGTGGCCCTGTGATGCATCGGAATTAAGCCAGATCAGGGACTCCAAGTTGCGGTCACAGGCAGTTGATGTGTTGCCGCGAATACGCGATGTATCGCCATGACTTCCGGATTGGGAACCGACTCCAGCTGAATACGCTCCGGCCAATTGATGGAAATGAAACATGAAGCTCTCACGAGATGTATTGCTGCATCGGTAACCCCGTGAAGTTGAAGTACAACAAGATCAAAATATCGATGTTGGAAAGCGAAAAGAAAAGAAGTCAAGATTCCAACTCCAAACGGTTGAAGGGTGGCAGTAAAACCAACAGTCTAACCGCATTGGGCCGACTCTCCGCGGCGGTTTTGCGGGGCAAACCTTTCAATACCAGCTGAAATACCAGGGCTGACCAGGCGAGCTCGTAACGAAAGTGACCCAGAGCGTTGGGTCACCGTAGTTGTTGATGATCAGCCGAGTTGGAATAACCTCAAGTTGCCTTGGTAGGGACATCAAGGACAACATCTATCAAGATGGGCACCTTGAAGGTTTGTCGCGGTATAGCACCCTTGCATATCCAACAACGGCATACCCTAAGCCGAACAAGGCATGGCACAACTTGCCACTCTGCCAACGGTGGTTCGGCACTATCCAGTATCAACCAATTGGCCAACAGGCCTTCTCTCGGGGCAAGTTTCACGCAACTCTGGGAACGTGCCGCATTCTCTCGTCATGGCAAAGTATCATTACGCTCTTTTTGCGGATATCATGTATCCTCGGGTTCCTACAGCAAAGTCACATCGCCCTCTTTGATGGATACCATTATCCTTGCCCTCCACGCGACGACCCTGCAGCTGGACTCGAACAGACAAAGCCCCTCTGGAGCTCCATCCAGCCATGGCAGACACAATGGAGTGCCCCTTTTGTGGCTGGAAGACCAAAGAGGGCGAGTATCAAATGCTGCTTGTAAGTCCCTTCCGTTTGCAGAACACAATGATATTGTCGCCGGCTTCCCATCTTTGAAGTGACCCCGACCCCAACCCCCGTAGAGCCTGCCCGCTAATTCAGGTGCGCAACGTGACAAAGCACATGGAAACGCTGCACGCTGAAGGAGAACCGCCCTTTCTTGCTGTTGCTGATCAAGACGGCACCTCCCCTTCTCCAAATAGTAATGGCACTGCCAACACGGGCAATGACGACGATCCAGGATACGTCGAGTGCCCGGTTGAAGGGTGTGGAGAATTTCTTCTTCTTAGCCAGGTGGAATATCACTTAGAACTCCATACTGCAGAGGAGACCGGCGTCCATGATCATCACCCTCCTCCACCAGACCCTATCACAGCCGTGTCAGAACCTACTGCATCATCATCACCCTTATCAAACGCTCCTGAATCAGTATCAAAATCATCTCACAAGGCCTCGGAGCCAAGTACACGCCACTCCAAGGCGATATCAGCGTGGAAAAGACTCCTGAAAATGCCTAGTTCCTCTTCATATTCACATCGTATTCTATGGCGTCGCCATGATTCTAAGACGTCTGGCGATTCCGAGAGTAAAACGCGCGGGACGCGGTTGGGTGTAAGTTCATGTCTGCATTTTAAGTAAGGAAGGAGCTCTTGTTAACATTGAAACCGAACAGAGGAAGCATCTCGGTAGATATGCGCACGAAGACCGAATGCCAGACTGGCTTGCGGACCTTTTACGGAAAAAGGGACAAGTCCAAACAGCTGGTAAGCAGTCTCAAAGCTCTCGAATTCACGCAAAACACTTAACAAAACCCCCCAGGCGTAGTCCCGGTCCTAGCCCAACTCCTCGAATCCTCCCCCTCGACCCACCGCGCCTACCTCTGCCACCCCTGCGTCCACCACATCTCCAAGCTCAAGCGCGAAGGCGGCTTCTGCGGCTACCGCAACATCCAAATGCTCTGCTCCTACCTAACCCAACCCCCCCAATCAACCACCATCCCCAACGCCCACAAGCTCGCCTCCCAAATCCCAACAATCTTCCAAATCCAAGACTACATCGAGACGGCCTGGGACAACAACATCTCCGCCACGGGCCGCGCCGAAACAGGCGGGATACGCAACACGAGAAAGTACATTGGCACCCCCGAGGCGGTGGCCATGTTTAGGTACTTGGGCGTCCCGTTTGCTGCCCAGTCGATCAAGGACAAGTCCCCCGCCAAGGCGGTCGAGATGCTGCTGAGGACGGTGGAGGAGTATTTTAGGTCAGATGACAAGGCGATAGTGAGGGGGGAGGGGGGCAAGGTGAGGTTGACGGGGTTGCCGCCGTTGTATTTTCAGCATTTGGGGCATTCGATGACTATTGTTGGGTTTGAGAGGGGGGCGGGGACGGGGGAGGGGAGGTTGTTGGTTTTCGATCCGCATTTTAAGGATTGTTATCAGGTTTTGGGGATGGTGGGGATGAACAATAACAGTAATAATGGTGGCGATGGGAAGAGGGGGGCGGGGGTGGTGCCGGTGAGGTATCCTTATCCGGATGGGGCGCTGAAGGGGTATAGGAGGGGTGGGGGGTATTTGGGGGATTTTAAAGAGTTTGAGCTTTTGAAGTGGGTTGGACTAAATTGTTGATGATGTTGATGATGATGATGGGCGCTGACGAGAAATAGGCTTCTTCCTGGGGCGGTACCTGTGGGGGGATAGGGAAGTACATAGGGCGAGTAAGACTTCTGTTCTGGGAAGATGTGTGCGGATTGCTAATGATCTGTAGGATGCTTCATGGTTACGAGACGACAGAGGAGGATACAGCGGTGGTGTGGGCAGGGTTCCGCGTTGGGAAAAAGGTGGCGGACAAGGTCGAAAAGACGCTTGAGACTCTTTTTGGTGAGATGCCGACGTACCCGGTTCACCACCAGCGGCCACGTGGAGGAGGAAGAGGAGGTAGGAGAGGAAGGAGAGGACGAGGGCATGGAGCGTACTGATGGTTATCAGTGGGACAAGCGTGTAGTCATACTGCTGTGGTATTCTTGGCTATATTTCAGGGATATCATCTCCATGAGCCAGTTTAGCCCAGATAGGTAGCGAACATGGTTCAGTAGCACTAGTTTATCACATTGCGCTTGAAACAAGAGTGCTATGCTAGGCGGTATTAGGAGGGAAAGGGGGAGATAGAAATAGAGATGGTCCAAGAGATCGAGATGGCAGCCGGGTCTTCTTGGATGCTAGAGGGCCTTATCAGACATGTAGAGCTTTTGTAAAACACTTCAAGCACTGATCGTTTGGTCCGCAATGTGATTATTTTTATTTCTCAGATTTTGACTTACGCGGTCATCTCCTTGGCGAACCACTCTTGGAGCTTCGCCAAAGCTCTGCTCCGGTGAGAGATCTTGTTCTTCTCGGCCTTGTCCATCTCGGCGTATCTGTTATCCTGTCAGCTTCTTCTCACTTCCTCGTCCTCTGAAAATAAACCTACGTCTTCCCCTCATACTCAAAAATAGGATCCCAGCCAAAGTTGCTTGGCCCCCTTGCGGGCACAATCTTTCCGTGTGTGATGCCCTGGAAAAGGATGGGCTCATGTCCAGGTCCGGCAGAGTATCCGAACGTGCAAACAGCTTTGGCACCCTTGTCTTCATAGGCAAGCAACATGTTGTTGAGACCTTCGTGGCCGATAGACCCCAGGAACCACTTGATGTATGGTCCTGGGAGATCCTGCAGAGCATCGAAACAGAGGCAGGTGTCTTCTACCAAGACGGGACCGCCGACGAGTTCGGCGGCGCGGCGGCATTTGTCAATGGTTACTTCCTCGAGGGTGCCTTGGATCTCGACAAGGTCGAGGGACTGGTTTGTGACGGAGATGGCGGGCTCGAGGATGGCCTTTACCTCGGAGAGCTTGTTGGCGTTGCCGGTGATGAAGTTGACTTGGTGGCGGGCTTCGGTCATTTTGGCGGTTTGTGGGAGTCCTTGAGAGTGGAAGTGGGAAGAGAAAGAGTTTGTATGAGTGACAGGATTGGGCTGTGAGGTTGACCTGTGAGATAAATCGTTACTCATACGCTGTATTCTTAACCTGTAAATACAGTTCTCATTGTTTTATATGCATCTACGCCGAATGACAGCATCCCTTCTTGGCCTGAGTCACAGGGATGATTGGTGGATATCGCTATAAAAGAGGAGGACCCCTGGCCCCTGGTCTCATCTTTGAACTTGGAAGCAGATCGAGGCCCCACCTTCCCCTCCACCCCGCCGCCGAAATAATTATCTGCCCCGCCATACCGTTGCGACTGTCCTCGAGAGCGAGTCCCGTCCTTCTATCAGTCCATCCATCCACTGTGTGTGCAAGTCAAGTAGCGACGTTGTGTTTGTGACTGTGTGTACTTTGCCATCTTTCCATATCTTTTTGCCGTGACATCCTCTTCTTCCTCTACACCACATCACCTACCAGTACCAGTCACCACCATGCTCGACATCAACGACTTCATTGCCGAGCGCGGCGGCAACCCCGAGAAGATCAGGGAGTCCCAGCGCAAGCGCCATGCTCCCGAGGAGGCTGTCGACGAGGTGATTGCCTTGTTCGAGGACCACCGCAAGAGTGAGTCAACTTCTAGTCTGCCCCGAATTGTACAACATGCCACAGTAGACTGATTGATCTCTTTGATCACCCATAACAGCTCAGTACGCGGCCACACAATTCAACGCCAAGATCAACGAGGTCCAGAAGCAGATCGGCCCCAAGAAGAAGGTACCATAAACCTTGAACCTCATCCAGCATCATGTTTGCGACGGCTATCTGACATGCGCGCGCACTCGCAAACAGGCCAAGGAAGATGTCACCGAACTCCTCGCGAAGAAGGCCGAGCTCGAAAAGGAAAAGAAGGACATGCTCGCCCAGGCTGCTGAGAAGCAGCAGATCTTGAACGCTAAGCTCAAGACCATCGGAAATCTTGTTCACGAGTCGGTTCCTGTGTCTAACAACGAGGACAACAACGAGGTCGTACGGACGTGGGCTCCCGAGGGCGTCACGTTTGAGAAGAAGAATGTCCTTTCTCGTGAGAAACACCGCAGGTCTATGGTTGGAAAGAAGCAATGACTAAGACATGACGTTGGACAGACCACGAAGTTCTCGAGAAGCTCGACGGATACGACCCAGTCAGAGGTGTCAAGGTTGTTGGCCATCGTGGTTACTTCCTCAAGAAGTGGGGCCTCTTCTTGAACCAGTACGTATTCGACACTCTTTTCGAAACTGCAGAGAGGATACTGACGGGAGACAAACAGGGCTATCATCAACTATGGTCTCGAGTTCTTGGACCAGAAGGACTACATCGCTCTTGGCACTCCTATGCTCATGCTTAAGGAGCAAATGGCCAAGACCGCTCAGCTCTCACAGTTAGTTCACCTTCTGGACTGACGATAGAGATTAAATGCTAACGTTGGTTCAGATTCGACGAGGAGCTGTACAAGGTCACTGGCGACCAAGCTGACAAGTACCTGATCGCTGTGAGTAGCCCCTTTTTACCCCTATTTCTTGCACTTGTATCACCGTGACATTCGATGAGAATACCTTGGCATACTTCTGATACCGACATCCAACAGACCTCGGAACAGCCCATCTCCGCGTTCCACAGCGACGAGTGGCTCCAATCCAAGGACCTCCCTCTCAAGTATGCCGGCTACTCGACATGCTTCCGCAAGGAGGCTGGTGCTGTATGTCCTTTGCCCCCGTCTATCCTGCAAAAACATTTACTCACACCCCTCTAGCACGGCAGAGATGTCTGGGGCATTTTCCGCGTCCACGAATTTACCAAGGTGGAGCAGTTCTGCCTCACGGATCCCGAGAAGTCGTGGGAGATGTTTGACCAGATGATTGCCAACTCGGAGGAGTTTTACAAGTCGCTCGGCATCCCCTACCGCGTCGTGGCCATCGTTTCCGGCGCGCTCAACAACGCCGCCTCCAAGAAGCTCGATCTTGAGGCTTGGTTCCCCCACCAAGGAGAGTTCAAGGAGCTGGTCTCGTGCTCCAACTGCACCGACTACCAGAGCAGAGACCTCGAGATCCGCTTCGGCGTCAAGAAACAGACCGAGATCAAGAAGACCTATGTCCACGCCCTCAACTCTACGCTTACCGCCACCACGAGAACTATTTGCGCCATTTTGGAAAACTTCCAGACTGAGGATGTAAGTTTTTGACCTGGGGGGAGTGTGTTGAGTGATGTGATGTGCTGACAATGTGATTTAGGGCGTCAAAATCCCAGAGCCACTGCGCAAGTACCTTCCTGGCGCCCCTGACTTTATCCCTTTCCCTGGCAAGGCCAAGAAGGCGGAGGAGACAAAGGAGATTCCTATTCGTTAAGTGCTTTTTGGTAGAAATATAAAAAAGAGTTTGATGATGCATGGGAAGCAGGGAGTTTTGTGAGTGTGTAATGATTTGAACTGAAAAAGTATTGTTATTTGTTTTGTGTTGAAGTGAGGTGTTGACTCTTGCTTCGAGCCGGTCACTTTGAACGGCTCATCTATACATGCGTGTCACCTGTATTTCCATCTGTGACTTATCAAGCAGTCAGCCTTGATCCTTCTCTACTCATCCACCAGTCGATCATGCCCAGCATCCAGTGTCAATTTTCAGGAGGGAGAAAATATGTTCATATCAGATCCACGACACCCTTTACAGTTATTGTTTTCCTTTCTTGTCTCCTCGAGCAAACGCAGTGGGTTGAAGCAAAACCTTCAGCCCATCGCATCTAGTCGAAGAAACAAAAAAGAAAAACAACAACCGTAAAGGGTGTCGTAGATTTATTTATTTTGTGTGAAAGATATATGCATGGTAGGATCGATCCACTGTGACTTATACCGCCCGCTTCATCATACACAACATGACACAAAATAGACATCAATAAACAACCGCAAAACCCGTTCGACGTCCGCTCGTTTCTCGTTTCCCCATCCCTTTCCCGAAACATATAACCGTTGCCGACCTCGGCCGAGAAAAAGAAAACAGATGATGAAAAAAGAAAAGACAAGAAAACGTAAACCCTCCCCAGGTTCATACATCGCATATCAAATCGTGAACAAAAAAAAAAAAAAGACAAAAAACGTAGAGAACATGCCCCTGTTGAAAACGAGGGCACTTCACAACTGTGACAACCAACCCAGCGGCAAACCAGCAAAGGAACAAGACACTTTCACCATGCCCTGCTTTACTCCCTAGCCCCGCAACCAATCACCAAAACAAAAAAAAACGTTGTTGTGTCCCATTCCAGGTCCATTACCCCCTCTCCTTACTTCTCTCTCTTGGGTATCTCCGATCCATTACCCCCCACCTCTTCTCCCCTCTTCCCATCCTTCACATCAAAACACACTTACTCCCCCCCACCTCCTCCCCAGGATTCTGCGTCTTCTCAATCTGCCCAATCAACAGCTCAAACGCCTTGGCCACATTCTCATCATACCTCGCGCTCGCCTCGGTCCACGCACACTTGAACTTTTCGCAAAGCGCCTTCCCCTCTTCCGGCGTGACCTGTCGCTGCTCAGGACGAAGATCAGACTTGTTGCCCACGATGCAGATGGGGACCGAGTCCGTTCCCTATTTTTTTTTCGTCACAAGTCAGCCTAATATCCCACATTTACCCTCCAATTCTCGCAGAAAGCGATGGTATAGCCCTCACTAACGCTCGCGCAACTCACCAAATGGTTCAAAATCTTATCCCTAATCACCTGCACCATCTCAAAGCTCGGCAGGCTGCTGACCGAGTACACCAACATGTACCCGTGAATCCCAATAAAGTGCTTGCTGTTCAGGATGCTGTACTCATCCTGGCCCGCAGTGTCGACAATTTCCGTCGAATAGTCCTGCCCCTTGTACCGAATCTCTTTGCTAAAGGTGTTTTCGATGGTGGGGTAGTACGACTCGACGAAGTGCCCGTCTACGTAGCGGACCGCGAGCGAGGATTTACCTGTGGGAGAGGTGTGTTAGAGAGAGAGAGAGAGAAAGAGAGAGGGAGGGAGGGAGGGAGAGAGAGAGAGAAGAAAACTGACCGACGGAGCGGGAGCCGACAATGGCGATTTTACGCTGTTTTGTTGGGGTGTTGGCGGGCATTTTTGCGGCTTTGAGGGAGGAGAGGGGATGGGTGGTGGTGAGAGGGGGGATTAGATATTAGATTTTGTCGAAAACGTCAAGAAAATCAAATACGCTGGCTATGGTGTAGTGCGATGTGTGAAAGTGTGGTGGTGTTGTCGTAGTTGGGAGGAAATGTCAATGGTAAACTTCCTGTCAACAAGATCAGAAGCAGCAGCAGCGGCGGGAACGCGCAAGGTATAGGTATAGGTGACGTTTCCCGGTCCGGTCTCGTCTTTCCCTAAAGTGTCGCCACACTCGCGTTTCGCTTCTGGGTTTGTGGACAAATGGAAACGGATAAAGGGTGGGATGAGGAGTGCGGCCCCCTGGTTGGGAGTTTTAGGTAAAAAAAAGTTCGAGAATCTCTGGGGCCTGCTGTGATATCCACCCTTCTATCCTTGGAGAGGCGAAAGGAAAGCTGAAGACGGCCGGGTTATCCTCTAAACGATTGGCTTTCCAAGCGGGCCGTTTGGGAGATCTAAAAAAGGCTGGTTGTGGGCGGGGATATCTTGATCTCGTATATAGATAATGGTTCGGACGGATCAGCCCAAGACAAGCGGAAAGAACTGTCCGTGAAAAGGAGCAAAAGGAGAACGTTGTCTGACTTTTAGAGATGTTCTCATTGGTCCCCAACAGAGAGGAAAGTGTAAGAGAAGACCTTACACAAGGGAAGGGAAGGGACACTGGCAGTGACAGCTTCCCAATGCTGCGGGAAGCGAACTAGTCTAAGGGAGGGGAAAGAACCACCGCAACCCACTGCCACTTGCGACTGGAGGCGGGGTTCAGCGTGACTGGCATTGGTGGGGTCGTTGTGGAAGGTGATGGTTGGTGGGGCTACCGGCGTGGAGCCTGTGACGGTCGGCAGACCGGCCCAGATGCCCCGTTGCGGCTCAAGTGTCCCACTGCCAAGATCGGGGCCGTTGAATGGGATGCCTCTTTCTGACATGTGCCTCCAATTGCTATTCACCATGACGATATGTGAGCACACCGCCAAGTGTTGCGAGGTTATCATTGCTTCGTTACAATCCCTGAAAGCTGACACATTACCACAACATCCAGACGACCAGTTTTGGAAATGTGGCCTCCTCGAACGGCGCATCCTTGAGCTCCGGTTTGAGTTTTACCAGGAGCTAAACAGCCCGTTCCTTGAGAGCCGCGCTTTCAGCCTCTCTTCCATTCTCCCCCTGTATCTGAGAAAGCTTGAATAGAGCACGAGCTTGCTGTCCTTGTCCCTCGACCAGAGTCTCCGAAATCCCAACAACCTCCTCCAGCAGGTTACTAATGCCATGATGTTAGCAGAGGGTGACGGTAGTAAGCAGAAAGTTGGCACTTACACAGCTGAGCTAACGTGGCCATCCCGGTACGGCATTGAGGCTACATCGTACTGAGAGTCGCAAGTTTTGAGCCGGTTGCCCAATAAATCCGCGACGAAAGGCCAGTGCTTTTGATGCCAGCCGCAAGGCTTCGCTCGTCCGCCCCTGAGCAAGACGAATACGCGACAATAAGACCATGTCCCCTGAGAAGCGAGGATTTCCAGTGCTGAGAAAGGTCTCATCAGTGAAGTCCTTCAGGGAGGGACATCTTGCGAGCATCTCCTCCGCTTCATCCGGACGGCCCATGCGGAGAAGTAGACTCGACATATTGCTGTATGAATTGCCGATTCTGTCGCTATTCGCCTTCAGTCGGAGTCTAATGGCCTCCTGATGAGTCTCACAGGCCAAATCCAGTGCGTTCACCTCAGTATATGCCAGCGTGATGTTGTTAAGACTATAGGCAATGAAGGGATCCTCAGGTCCAAGCTCTTCCGAAGCATCACCTAGGCTGACCGAAAATTGGTCTCTTTTTTCAACATTGCTAAATGGGAAGCTGTAACACTAACTCAAGTTCATCTGATAGGAATGCAAAACTTTCGCTGAGGCCCTCAGAACCATGGATCAAGATGTCTTCTGAGATACCATCCGGGTCGAAGTAAGATAGTAAGTAGAGAAGTCGAGTGGGGTTTGCTGATAACTTTTGGAATGAGACATCCCACACAGTGCTCAGGGTACGTTCGTAGTCGCTTCTAGGAGCCTTCCGGGCGTCGATTTTGGCGGCGTAACGCTCATATAGCGGGAGGACCTCTTGCAAAGACAACTTGCGTTGAGTAACAAAACCGCCAATCTGAGCTAGCGCCAGGGGTAACCCCCCAAGGCTCCGGCTGATGTTTGAAGCATTCTGAAGATCGGCCTGTGATGCAGCGCCGATGTCAATAGCCTTGAGAAGCATCTGGTCCCCTCATCATCGCCTAATGCATTGACCTGTATATGCTGGGCTGTCGAGGCTGTTGCAACAGAGAGATCCCTTGTGGCGACAAGAATCGAGGCACTAATCGAGCCAGGCCAGGCTGTCTTCAAGGATGTGAGATCATCCGCGTTGTCGAATATGATAAGGCAAGTTGTATCTGAGCACGTCAGGGTTTCGATCCTCATGAGAAAAGAGACATGCCAAAGTCATGCTTTGCCACAAGACTAGAACCTCCCGCCGGGCCTATCGACTCCCAATGGCGGATGACTTACTTGTTGTGAGCAGCCAGCTCTTCACCTTCCACGATGCTCCAGCGGCGTCTTTGGTCTCCTCATCGGTCCCCAGCAAGCCAAGCCCACCAGCAACTGTACGAAAGCTTTGACCGATGGCAATTGCATTATCACTTGCCATCCACAGAACAGCATCAAACTTGTCCAGGCTTTGGTACGCATACTGGGTTGCGATCTGAGTTTTGCCAACACCACCCATCCCGAACAAGGCCAAGGAGTTCAATGGTGACACGGCGGCTCCAGGCTTCAGAACCTCGTCAAGCCTGCCTAGAATATCACCGCGCCCACTGAACTTGGTGTTGGCCGTGTAGGGGATGTTATTGTACCGGATACTATCACTACTGAGAGTCTGTATTTAGGTGACTTTCATCGCGTTCAAAAGCTCGAGCACTTCCTTGTATCGGCCTTCGTCTTTTTGCATCCGCAACACATCAGCCTCGCTCTCTACAGCACAAGACATGCGCTTGATACGCATCATAGTGCGCGAGAAGTCATTGCGAAAGGCCCGCCAGGAGTTCTTCCTTAGGACAAGGTGGGGATTGCTTCGAAGGAAGTAAATCGTTCGCGCGTAGAAGCAGATAACCTCACAATACACATCGACGAGGGTGCTCTGCAGTCGACGGTCGAGTGGGAGGGTCTCTTCCCAGATTTGGAAACGAGGAAGAGTAAGGCTGAGTTTCTCCAACATGTCAAGGACGTCTTGGAGAGTCTCAGAGGCCGTGCCCCTGGTATCTGGTCTGAAAACATGGTCACTACCCTATCTTTACTCACCAGCTTCAAGTACACGAGCTGGAATGGACGGCACTCACGTTGGTGTTGTTGTCATCTTCATTGATGAGAACACAGCGCGGCTCTTTGAGCAAAGAAGCGGAGGGGCTCTGACGAGGGGCTAGGGGCTACAGGAAAGGATGAAGAGAGTTATCAGCTCTGTGATGAAAAGAGGGGAGGTCAACCACACTTCCCACCCTTGTCACAAATCACCTTTAAAGGTGGCTTGAACTGCTGTTTCACACGCGCCCTCTGGTCGCCGTCTAACAAAAAACTCCCCGTTGGTTGCAACAAACCGTGTTTCCTGAAGTCATGGCCGGGTCAGGCTCAGCTGAAGGTTGCATTCAAACTGTGGTTCCAGGACGTTCAGCACAGAGATAATACATGATGGTATGTTTTGAGTACACGGTGCGACATTACAGCTGTCCGCTATTATATAGCACATGCTGTGATATCAATTGACAAAATAATAACTTCAACTTGATGTCTATCTTGCTCCAGAGATAATCTACCTCACACCATGCCCCAAAGCCTGAGAAACTTCACGGTATTCAGTACGCGTTTCCCCCTCCATATATATCTCTGAGTGTCAACACTGACCCCAGCCTTGTGATGAAATAGGGCCATCGTCACGTTCCATCACCGTGACCTTGACCGAAAAGCTCCCATCCTCCTCTGATCGCGTCTTTGATGAACTGCCATGGTACCGTTCCTGGGTGATCGAGCAGGTCCGTAGTCAGCCACGACGAATCTTCCTATGTCTGCCGGAGATTGATTTCGATGGAGATCCCGACTGGACGGGCTTCTTTCTCCTTTGGGACCAGATACCAGAACTCATCCTCCGCCCAGGGCCCAAAAGCATCAGCAGCATCACGGACACGCTCATAAGTTCCGGCACCATATCAATCCAAGACAACGACGAAGGTCCTCAGTCCGCCAAAGACCTCGTATTTTCTGTCCTCGGACGGCAAAGTGTCTGCCGCGTGGAGATTCAATGGGTCGACTGCCTACCCTGCCACCTCGAGCTCGACAGACCTTCAGGGAGGCTTTTCGTCTACCGATACCCATCATTTTGCGTCGCGAGTCTCCAGCAACACCGAGGGGTGGACGGGAATGAAGGGCGCAACAGTGTGGTATATCGCTGCGCATTCGACAGACCGGATTTGGTCCCGTGGGCAACCGAGGAGGGTGTCACAGGTCTGCTGGAGGAGGTGTTGCTTTCGTACCGTTTGATCATTGGGCAAGGTAAAAGATCAATATCTGGCATTTCGCCGGCTGCAACCTACATCTGCCACACCTCAGGGTCAAGATCAGCTCCTCGTCGAGCTCTGCGGTCGGAAGAGATTTCAGTGTCCTGTGCCGTTGACTGGGCGGGATGAGTACAATCTTGCTGGTGACTTCCCCCATCTTCGCAGCAGGATTGTCCGGTTGAACAGTTATGCAGCAGGCAAGAAACCACGCTCTCTTCGCCAGCTATGGCAGGACAGGCGGGACTCGACCGCATGGCTCGCGTTCTGGAGCGTCCTGATCTTTGGCACATCAAGCATTCTGATCGGTCTTGTGCAGATGGTCTTTCAAATCTTGCAGTATGTTGACTCTATGAAGAAAGTCGGGGACTGAATTTAGTTGGAAACCTCATGAATGAAGATTTGGAAATAGGAGATCGTTGGGTCGTGGAAGATGTTGCTGCAGAATGGGATGGTAAGGGGGCGAGAGAAGGAAAACAGGAGACTGTGCTCGAAAGGATCATACACTCCGTTCTGCCCAACTCTGGATAACACCCTCAGCTGTGGGCTCATACTCCCTCAACACTACCTTCTCGCCATCCAAGAAAGTGTTGGCATGGACAAACACAAATGGCGGAGGCTTGTTCGCCAACACCGTCTCCCGCCACTCAAGGTACTCGCCATCCACGGCTGAGAGCTCTTCATAATATGCGCGGCAGGCACTCGCGTCGGCTGTGCAGCGATACATGTGCAGCCTCAGGAGCATGCTGCCAAGAGCAACCTTGCCATGCGTGAGGATCTTGGATTGGTCCACTCGAACTCTGACGGTCTTTGCCAAGCCGTCATGGACTACCGTCACCGCCCCATTGCCATCAAGCAACAGACATTTGAGAACAGCGAAATGGGCCTATCGTATTGTTAGGAGACATACATGCGCAATTGTTTTGGAACGCCTACCCTGCTATGGGCTTGACCCCATTTCTGTGTTGTAGTTAGCACATAGTTATCGTTCACTGTTCGTCGCATAGATGCTCACACCGGTGTTAACATTGAAGTTCGAGAGGCCTCGGAGCCCATCAACATCAAGTTGCTGGTATACGTTGAAGGTGACGAATGTCCAACAATATCAGTACCCTCAAGCCGTCTTAGAGCAGTGAGAACTCGCGGTCTTCAACGCTAATCTCTGAGCTGGCTGTAAACCCAAATAACTCCAACGGCTCCGGATCGTCCATCAGATATGCTCAACGAGCTCGGCCCTGCATTCGTCAACCGTCGTGGCAAGATCAGCAAACTGACCAGTCCAAGTCTGACCCGGCTTATACCAGGTAGTGATCGACTTTCCAGTAAGCGGGCTGATAGGCGGATTGTCGATGTCAAAATTTTGCTTCCCTTCCTCGGTTTCGACCATCGTTTGTCCTGTACCATGGCCCAGCAGCTCATGGAGCACAACCCACCAATGGTACGCGGGGAACTTGTGCTTGGTAAACGTCTCTGCCTCCGAGGGGTCGATGAAAGGGTATTGTAGCGCCCTGCTCTCCGTCGCCATCCTGTTGGAAATAATGACATTCTTGAAGCCATCCTCCTGACGGATATCATTGTACTAGGACCATGCTAGCATAACATTCAGTGAGAAAAATGGACAGCCTCAATCCTCTTAACATACATTGGGCAAGTTGATCCCCGGAAAGATGATACTAGAACAGTATGCAAGAGCTTTTACTATGGTCAGCAACACACAACCCACAAGCCTTGGTTTCAATACAACTCACTGTGGATGCTCGAGAAGTCAACTCGCGGTGCCTCGTCCCGGTCCCAAATCCGTTGGGACTCCCGGTACGTGTTCAGACTGCCTGTCTGGAAGCTTTCTGCATACTTCGGGAGGAAGTCGACCTGGGTGTCGTTGGCGGCGAACTTCGCAGCCTGGGTGAGTTCGTTGCAGATGTTTTCCAACGCAGAGGAGTGGTCTCCTCGAATCAGTCGTATCACACCCTTTAGGCCTGGGGTGGGAAAGGTACGGATGCGGCTTGCGTCGTCGTCACGCTGGACCGAAGCGACAAGGACCTCAGAGTCATTTGCACTGTTGTTCACCCTTCGAATCCGGGTATTCTCGGGGAGAATAGAGTTCTGCTCAAGGATCCTCGACACCATGGCTATCTCCTCTTCTGAAACCGGGTCGCCAGGGTAGTAGCTGCTCTGCGTAGTGTCGCTCGGGAAACCGAGGCTGTAAGGCGGGAACAGCGTTGATCGATCTCGAAGGTAAACTTCTGATCCCCCGAGCCATAGTGATTGCCGACATTTGAAAGGAATGTCGCGGCGTAGGTGAGAAATTGCCGCAGCTGGTCCCTCTCCATGCCTACTTGACCAACAATTGCATCCCAGTTCGCAGAACAGGCCCGGTGAAGCTCAAGAATGAAATCGAAAATCGGGCGAGACTCTAGAGAGACTTGTTCTAGAATGATACGAGCTCCATACCAAGCGGCACTAAACAAGTCATCAGCAGGATGGAATGGCCAAAGCAGAGTGGTGGCAGACTGGGCCCTACCGTGCCTTGTGGTGCGCATATCTTTGCTCCCTTTCCGTTACACCATTGAATTGGTCCCGGATACCCAATTGGAAAATCTGAACATTGTTGACTGCCATTGCACACAGCAGAGGACTTTGGTCGCGATGATGATCCCGTCTGAAGCCGGGGGGATGACACTTCCAAAGTATTTCAGAGTAACTCACCCCCAAACAGGATTCGCTATCAGTAATACATGGACGTCTGTATCCTTTCCACCAAGTTCCTTGCTCTACCCTCGAGGCTTTGATGATCCAGCCTTCAGCTCTCGAGGCTTATCGCATTTGTTCCGTGTGGCTTGCATAAGGTATGCCTGAAGGTTTCACGTAAGCCGCCGTTTATTTGTTCGACTGCTCGATGTAATCCTACAGCCCCCATTGGTGTATTCGACATCTAAGCCTTGTACGTAAACTTGCAGTCTAGAAGCTTTTGTCTGCTTAGCTTTACACCAACGATGCTTGATTCCTTCATCAAAGTGCCAATCCAATATGGTGACCATATGTCATTAATCATTGATCTAATGGGTGCATGCAATGCCGCCTTTCATACCACACCCGCTCATTTCTTCCCCTTCTTCTTCTTCTTGTTCGCTCCACTACCACCCCCGCCGGCCTTTTCTACCTTGACAGAGCCAGCACCGCCCGCCAGCTCCAGCGTCTCCTCCTCCTTCACCACACCGCCCTGAGTGGCCTCCAGAGCCCTCTTCTTGCCCTTCTTGCCCTTGGGCCTATAAGTGCTCCTGTCACGCAGTGGCAGCCACCTCTCAGGGTCAGGCTTCTTGGTTGGGTCGTAGTTCTTGGGCAGCTTCCTCTTCCTTGGCTTCTTGGCCGGCTGTTGCTTCTCCTTTTCAGGGGCCGCGCCCTCTCCATCAAACTTCCTCTTCTTGGATTGCTGAGAAGAAGGAGGTGTGAGAAGAGCAACACCGGCGTCAATGAGCGCGCTAACATCCACACCTTGAGTGAGCTTCTCAACCGAGGGCAGTGATTCCAGGTAGGGTTCCACCTTGGCAAAATCAGTCGTGGCATAGCTGGCAACTAGACCTGCAGTGGCAGTGCGGTCCCCTGGCTGGGCCGAGAGAATCTGCTCAAAGGCCTCGCCAGCAGCTGCCAAGTCGGAAGGGTGCGAGGAGCGAAGTAACTCAATTCCAGCTGCTCTGGCGATGGATGAGCCTGCTCCTGCGGCTTCAGTCTTGCTTCTCCAGTGCGTGGCAGCCTTGGCGAGCTCGTTGCGGACATCCCTTTGCCGGTTCTGAGACCGGTAGAGAGATACAGCAAGAGCAACAAGGCCAGGCGCAAACCGGACATCAACGTGCTCGGGGGTGTTCGCCTCCTCGAGGCGTGTGAAGAATTTCTCGAGCAACAAGATTGCCGGGGGGAGTGTGCTGATTTGAATATAGAGTTGGATAATCGTGAGGAGGAGACCAATGTCGTTTGGACGCTTCTCCAGAAGAGGCAAAAGCTGGCGCACAGTCGGTTTGCCATCCCCACACTTGGTAGCAGCTGCTGCGCCGGCAACACCAAGGTCGACCTTGGAAACTGAGAGATCGGGAACTTGGGCTCCAGCAAGAAGTTTGTGCGCTCTGATCTCTTTGCCCTCAAACTTTTGGGCCTGAAGATCAATGACATTCTTGTTCCGCTGAAGGGCAGCGGTTTGGAACACAAACAACCGGTCGTTTCCTTCGATTTTTGGTAAAGCACGGGCCAAACGCTCTGCAATAAAGGGGTTCGCGGTAGCCTTGGGGAGCAGTTTATTTCCCTGCGCAATGACCTTGGTAGATGTCTCGGATACCCTGCAGTGCTAGGTTAGATAGTATGACCAGGTCGCAATAACGAGAGACTCACTCGGAGAGGTTGATGGCATTCTGCAGGCTCAAGGCCTCGTCTAGCTTCCCAAGCTTGGTAAAGACAAAGGCCTGCTGCACAAGGATTGGCACCAACTCGGCCTTCTTTTCCTCCTCGTTCAAGTCCTCGGTTGCCTCGCACAAATCCCTGGACCGTTTCAGTAGAACCGAGGCCTTGGTGTAGTCTCCCCTCGAGATGCAGATGCAAGCAGCATTGTACGCCGTCTCGAAGGCTTCCAAATCCTCCCTCGCTGGCTGCTTCTCCTCCTCTGGAACGGCCCACTCCTTTCCTTGCCATTGCAGCTGCGCATCGGCTGCGGTCAAGTTGATTCGCAGATCGTTCTCCTCGCCGTAGTTTGCTCCCTCGGTATCGTCCTTGAGATCCCGATATATCGCGGCGGCGCGTTCAAACTTTTCGTTGCGGTATGCCACTTGGCCAGCAATGTGCTTCAGGCCACGCTGGCTCTTCCCGGTGTCGACTCCAGTCTTTTGCAGCACCGCCTCGGCGCCCTCCAGGTCTCCCGTCTTATAGAGCGCATATGCTTTTTCGAAAGAGCAGTCCTTCTCGAGAGCGTCACCGCCCTCGGCAATGACTCGGAGGGCATCGTCGTAGCGGTCGAGCTTCAAGAGTGCGACCACGCGTGTGTGTTGGGCGCTGGCCAGGTCGGGGCCTTGGATCTTGTTAGAGCGAACGGCGGCAGTTGCGAGCTCGAGAGCTTCGGCATGGTCGTCGATAGACGCCTCACGGAGGAGGGAATTAAGAGCCGCGACGGCGGGGTCTGCCATGATGTCGCTGGGATGGGGTTCGTAAGGCTGTGTGACCGTTTAGGCTGCATCCAAAAGCTCGTCCAGGGTCCTCCACGGGGAGAACCGGTGTTCTCTGGCGGGTGTGCGTAATCTGGGCGGATGGCACCGTGGGCAGCGGCAAGTGGGATAGTCCGGTCTTGGCTGGGGATCTGACTGCGATACGGAGATACTGGTGCAGGGAAGACAGTGTTGGAAGCGTCGAGTGGTGCTGTCAGCTGCGGTGAGAGTGACTGTGGATGCGGGGCAGCTTCTGGTTGATTTTGGATTATTTTTGTGGGGTAGATGCTGCCAAAGTGGGGGTCATCCAGGGGAAGCTTCCCCTGACCCCCAACTTTCACTCTCACCTTCTCTCTCACCATCACATAGTCACCTCACCCTTTCAGCCAGCCTCGACATTGCCATTGGGTCGGTTAAGTCCAGGCAACAGCCACTTTGTATTAATTGTCCTCGTTGCCACACTCCGCAGTCTCTCTATGAAGCCATTTTAAGGCAATGAAGCTCAAGTTCGTGGCTTCATAAAATTCCACCAATCACTGGTTCTCGTTTCAACCGCACTCGATATTCAGACGCAGACATGCCCAAGACCCAGCAACCCGGAACTTCTCACGTAGGCAAATAGCTGTCAGGATGCTCCCCGGAACGGCACTTTTTTATTTTCCGGTCGTCTTCATCTATCTCTAGGTGTCAAGCGGACACGCCATATTGAGCAGCCCTCTCAGGTTCCTTTACTGCTTTACCCGCTTATATCCTACTGATGGGATGTGTAAACCATTTGGAAATCATAGGATTCTGCTTAGACTATATCTACGGCGAGACCCATCTCACGAGCCATGGATGAAGCAAGTGCTCATCGTTGTGGTGGTGTAGTTCACCACAGGACTTCACAATGGCTCCCTTTCTCGAACTCGCCGCTCTAGCTCTTACATTATTTACGCCAGCAATTGCATACACGGAAAAGCCTTCCATCTTCAGCTTCTCCGCGGCTGGTACCGGTTTGCAGCTTGGCGGAGCAAACCTAGCTCCCGAGATCAGAGTCGCCCCCAATGACCTACCCGGTGTGAAGCGAGTTGCCAACGATCTGGCCCTGGATTTTGGACGGGTGTTGGGTGTCAACGGAACAGTGGTGGTGGCAGATTGGAGCTCGACTATTTCCCAGAAATGGACGAAACCAATCATCTTGGTGGGAACTGTCGGGCAGTCGAGTCTCATCGACAATCTGGGGAGCACCAAGAAATTCGACACAGTCTCCATTGCCAACAAGTGGGAAACATTCGCCTACCAAGTCGTTCAGTCACCATGGGAAGGGAGCAGCTCTGTATTTGTCATTGCCGGCTCGGACCTGCGCGGTACCGCATACGGTGTGTACGACGTCTCGGAGAAAATAGGGGTATCGCCTTGGCACTACTGGGCTGATGTTCCGGCCAAGAAGAAGCAATACATCTGGGCCAACAGCGACGCTTACACTGAAGGACCGCCCTCTGTCAGATATCGAGGCATCTTCCTCAACGATGAATCGCCAGGCTTGACAGGCTGGGGCAGGACCAAGTTCACTCCAAGCCAATATGGAAGCCCTTTCGTCCTCGACTTTTACAAGCTCATCTTCGAACTGATCCTCCGGATGAAAGGCAATTATCTTTGGCCAGCGATGTGGTCCAGCATGTTCTACCTCGATGACACCAGGAACGGACCAACGGCAACTGAGTATGGCATCTTCGTGGGAACAAGTCACCACGAGCCGATGGCCCGGGCTGACAAAGAGCAAGGAAGATTTCTGAGGGGCTCTTGGGATTGGAGAAGCAACAAGGCTGGCGTCCAAGCTTTTATGCAAGAAGGTCCGACAAGGGCAAAGAACTGGAGCACGATCTACACTGTGGGTATGAGAGGTTCGGGAGATGCTGCGTCGCCTTCACTCAACTCTCAGGCCCTGGAGGAGGTCATCGCCTGGCAGCAACAAACACTGACTAAAACCATTGGGAAACCGTTATCCGAGATTCCACATGCTTGGATGATGTACAAGGTTCGTTGACCCGTTCCATTATCTGTTTTCTGTTCAAAACTATGTCTGACATCACACAGGAAGTACCTGGCTATTGGCAAAAAGGCATGAAAGTTTCAGACGATGTGACAATTGTGTGGAGTGATGATAATAGAGGAAACATTCGTCGGGTCCCCATCGGTAACGAAGGAAACAGGGTGGGAGGTACTGGCATGTACTATCACTTCGACTATGTCGGTGATCCACGAAACTACAAGTGGATCAACACTATCCAACTTCAAAAGACGTGGGAGCAAATGACACTTGCTTACGACAGCGGCGTTGACAAGCTATGGATTGCCAATGTTGGAGATCTCAAAGGATTGGTATGGTGCTCTTGAGTTATCAGACTTCCGGCCTGAGATACTAATCTTGTCTGTAGGAGTTGCCAACTGCCCACTTTATGGCTATGGCTTGGGATCGAAAAGCGTTCACTGACCTCGACAGTACCAAGAAGTGGCTCGGTGTGTGGGGTGCGCGGCAATGGGGTGAACTTGCTGGAGATACCACTGCTTCCATCATGACAAGATACGGCAAGCTCACAGCACGGATGAAGTATGAGGATCTCAGCAGGACACCCTTTGCCTTCGATACCATCAGCTACGACGAAGCCGAGCTGAATTTCAACGAATGGACTTCTCTGCTCAAGAATGCGCAAGCCGTCCATGATGCCCTGCCAAGTGACGTTAGGACGTCGTTCTGGGAAGTGGTCCTGCATCCCATCGTGGCTGGCAGAGGTGTCTATGAAATTTACACCAAGGTTGCTCTTGCTGGCACGTACAGAGGTCAGCATCGCGTCAGCGCGAACAAATTGCTCAGGGACGTGCAAGCTGCATTTTCTGCCGACCAGGCCATCACCAGGCAGTACCACAGCATCCTGAGCGGCAAATGGAACAATGTCATGGCTCAGACTCACATCGGTTACAACAACTGGCAGGAACCAGCCTCGAATTCTCTTCCGGGATTGACTTGGCTCACGACACAAGCAAAGAATGCGCTCATGGGTGTTGCGGTGCAAGGCAGCTCGGGCGCATTCCCAGGCTCTGCATCGCTCACGCTGCCTGCAGCCAGTCCATACATGGCACCTTCAGATCAACGCTGGCTTGATGTCTTTGCCCGTGACAACGGGACGTTCAGCTACCGGATCACATCCAACGCTTCTTTTGTCAGTGTGACAAACGCTCAGAATACCATCTCGACGACCTCGGGAACAACGGACATTCGTTCCCTCATCTCGGTCGATTGGTCAAAGGCCCCAGTTGGAAACACTGCAGCTTCTTTGAGCATCGCGAATCTCAACGCCACCGGCACAATGGCCACAGTTATCCTGCCCATCCAGAACAACAATGTGCCAGATGACTTCAAAGGCCACGTCGAAGCCAACAATGTCGTGTCTATCGAAGCCGAGCACTTTGCCCCTCCGCCCGCATCATCATCGGCTTACCTCGTCATCCCCGATTACGGCCGTACCCTCTCAGGCGTTAAGCTCCCGCCCAAGACTCCTTCGCAACAAGCAGGCAAGGGACATGTCCTTTCTTACCCCTTTTACACCTTCAGCACTGCTACTGCTGCGACGTTGACAGTATACCTTGCCCCATCTGAGAACGCGAATCCCAACAGCCCAAACAAGTATACCTTTGGCATTGACGGCGGCAGCCAGACGACAGTTCAAACTGTGGGAATGACAGACGGGAGCACTCAACCCCAAGGATGGTCAGACGCCGTGGTGAAGGGGTCCTATGTCAAGACGAACAATATCGGTAGATTGAACCCTGGGAAGCACGAGTTGAAGGTCTGGCTTCTGGAGCCGACCATGGTGATTACCAAGGTGGTGATTGACGTGGGTGGGTTGAAGTCGAGTTTGATGGGCCCTCCGGAGAGTGCTCAAGTCTGAGTTGTAGCTATTCGAACTCTAAAGTAACATATCGGGAGCCAATCTCTACATAGCAATAAGATATTGTTCCCTTCCCCTACACCCTATCTACCACTTACACGAACCGATAAGATGACGTATGTGGCCCGTGCGCTTCACAGAGTGGAATTTTGTCTGTATGGAGCTTCACCGGAACTCTCGCTGTCACTTTGGCGGGAACTCACCGTGCATATCTCAACATTGTACATAATCAGGGTTCAGGTCCCTGCATTTTTCACTCTTTACCTGCGATATAACCGACACTCATTCAACTCACGAAGAAGAAAAAGAGAAAAAGATTACGATGGCTCCAAGAGCGACAGCCCTTCGGCTCGTTGCCAAAAGGACGCTTACACCTTCATTATGCCAAACGATGAAGATGAGATATTCCACCGTCCCTCTGGCGTATGATCTTCACGAGCCGGCCAAGCCGTCGGTTGGTAACCCCAACAAGAACTCGCCTATTGTTTTCATGCACGGGTTGTTTGGGTCGAAGAAGAATAACAGAACGATAAGTAAGTACGTATCTCCCTCTCTCCCTCTCTTACTCACCTACCTATCATACTAACAATATGACAAGAGTCCTCGCCCGTGACCTAGGCCGCTCCGTCTACGCCATTGTACCTGCACCTAAACCCCATATCAACAACCATCGCTGACACCAAAAAAGGACCTCCGCAACCACGGGGACTCCCCCCACGACCCCCACCACAACTACACCGCCATGGCCGCCGACGTAGGCGACTTTATCAAGCAGCACGACCTCAAAGACCCTTGCCTGATCGGCCACTCCATGTTTGTCCCCCTCCCCCCTCCTTCCCCCATTATCTTACTAACCCCTTCTCCTCTCAGGGGCGCCAAAGCAGCAATGACCCTCTCTCTCACCTCCCCCACCCTAATCTCCTCCCTCATCTCCGTCGACAACGCCCCCATCGACGCCCGCCTCGAGTCCGACTTTGCCCGCTACATCCGCGGCATGAAAGAGATCGAATCCTCCGAGGTCACCAAACAATCCCAAGCAGACTCCATCCTCCAGTCCTACGAACCCTCCGTCACAATCCGCCAGTTCCTCCTCGGCAACCTCCACCGTCCCCGCCACCCCGAGTCTCAGGTCCAAAAGTTCAAGGTTCCGCTGAGCATCATCGGGAAGGCGCTCGATCACCTGGGTGACTTTCCCTTTAAAGATCCCAGAGAGGTCAGGTTTGAGAAACCGGCGCTGTTTGTCAGGGGGACAAAGTCGAAATATGTCCCTGACGAAATCATCCCGCTGAAAGGCCAATTTTTTCCCCAGTTTGAACTGGTGGATGTCGAGGCGGGCCATTGGTTGATTACTGGTGGATGTCGAGGCGGGCCATTGGTTGATTAGGGTGAATCCCGAGGCGTTTAGGAGGGCGGTGGTGGAGTTTTTGAGTCCGAAGGAATAGATGGCCGGAGAGAGGTTAATTTGTATATTTATTGTCCATCGTCTATCAAATGCCAATATTGCATGAGAGGGGGAGGAGTATGCGTCAACAGCACACACCACTTAGACATAGACAGAAATTATAGACCAAACACAACAAGTACTTCAACACAAGGACACTTGATAAGCAAAAGAAAAGGTGTACAATGTACTTCCATCCATAATCCAAAAAAGCCTGGGGGTATCAAAACTCTCTGTGCTGTCTCAACAGTCTGAAGTGTATCCCAACTCCCCTCACCACCCATCCATCCATCGCCATGCCTCGCTCTCTTCTAATTTACCGAACCAACCCTCAAACTCCAAACCTCTCCATGATCAACGCCCTTTTCCCCTCTAACCCCCTTGCTCAACAAGAACAACCCCCCGACAAATAAGCCCCATACCCATCACCACCACCACTCCCACTACTCCCACCATTCCCCAACGCCACCGCCCCCGCCGCCCTTCCCAGTCTAGCATTCTGTATCAACCCCGGAGTCTGCACAATCCTATCCACAATATCCACAAACGCCAACCTCACATTCTCCCTAGTCTTTGCGCTCGCCTCGCAAAACTTTGCCCCGTGCGCCTCGGCGAGCGCCTGCCCCTCCTCCGTGGTGACCTCCCTTGCGTTGGCCTTGTCCAACTTTGCCCCGACCTATTCTTATGTTAGCCACAACATAGCGGTGGAAAAGTTGAAGGTACATGTGATGTGATGTAAGGGGGCGGGGGGGCTTACCAGATAAAGCGCAACCCCCTCCACCGTGTTCGCCTCCGCCTCGTTGAACCACTTCTCCATGCTCAAAAAGCTCGCCCGCGTCGAGATGTCGTACACGAGCAACACCCCGTGCGCGCCGCGGTAGAACGAGGTGGAGAGGGTGCGGAACCGTTCCTGGCCTGCGGTGTCGAAGAGGGTGAGACGGTAGGGTTTGCCGCGGACGTTGAGGACTTTGATCTAGGGGGGGGGGGGGGAGGGGTTGTCAGTGACGGGTAAGGAGGAAAAGGGGGGAAGGGAATACCTTGAAATCAATCCCTATCGTTGCGGCCGAGGTCTCGGGGTCGAATTCATCATCGCAGTAGCGGGTTAGTACTGAGTAAGAGTGGGTGAGTGAGTGTTAGTGAGATCAAGCTGTGAGGTGGTAGTTGTGAGTGTTGTGAAGATGAGGGAGTGATGAAGGGATCATCACTTCCAAGCCATGAAGAAACATCCCAGGCCATATCATGCGAAGCCAGGGGTTGATCACGACCCGTTGAGGCCACCGACCGGTCATATACGGGTGACCACCTCACCACCAGAACAGAAAAAAAACATGTGACAACAACTCTCACAACATAAACATGAAGAAGAAAGAAAAAAAAACTCACAAGCACTCTTCCCCGCCCCCGACGGCCCAATAAGCAACACCTTGAGCGTCGGGAGGGTATCATCCGAAGCCATCTTTCCCTTTCAGTTAAATCCCCAAGTTTTTCCCTTGCAGTAGCTGCCAAACAAGAGATATATCAACCAACCAACCCAAACTATCCGCCGCTGTTTTTGTTATTCCCGCCAGCCAGAAAAAAAAACCACAGCAACAACAAACAACAACAATAAAAGTCCGGTAAGAATAGTGCAAGTAAGGTAGGTAGGTAGGTGCGTAAAAGATAAGAAAGGTAGTTGTGTCTCGAATGATGCGAGTTTAAGGTTTTGGGCGGGTTGACAGAATCGATCGGGTTTTGCCTCGGTCCAAAACACAAAGACTGGGTGGTGCTGCTCAATGATGACGACGACACCCTCCCTTCTGAGCGGTTCTTCTTTCTCGTCTTATCTTTCGGCAGCGGCTTAAAAACTGATTGGAATGTGGAAGTTCCCTAGCGCTCGCCTCAAAAGACCAAAAAAAGAGGATGCGGCTCGGATAGGTAGGTAATAAGCAAGGCAGCAACACAGACGGAAACACAAGAAAAGTGATATCTGGAAGAATATGTCTTGTTGCCCAACTGGTAGTGAGGCGGCCAGTGAACTTTAGTAGTCCCCGCCTGCTGTTGGCCACTAATAAAGTAGCTGGCGGGCTTGGACAGCACCCGTGATGACGTTATGAAACAAGCTGTCAAGCTGGGCTGCCCTATCACGCGCTCCAATTTCAACACAATGGGACTACTTCGTACGATTTACTCCAGGAACAAAAGGACGGCGTCGTTTGGGGAAAAATGTCAGGAAACGGTCCTAGGAGCACACGTCAAACTCATGTTCGCTGATACGGTATCTGGGCGCACTACCACTTCTGCCACGTCCCCCTCGAATTGCCTTGTCACCGAGACGGGCCAATTTCACAGGCCATTCTCCCTAGGCAGTCCATAGTGACAACCTCACATCGGGGGGTGTGCCATCTCTGGGGGAAATGCTTTGTTTGGTCGTGTCACAGTCATTTATGATCCTTTTGATTCCCGCTCGGTCCGTCGTATGGGACCAACATTCGTTACCCTTGACTACTGTTCCATAATACGCGCCAAATGCAACGAAAGCAATCCCAGTGCCCCAGAGGTATTGCTGATGAAAACCTGCCCTTTGCGTTCCCAAAAACAACCAACCCTTTATACGGACTCAAGGACCGTCTCCTTGAACTCGCGCTCAACCTTCTGGCCAGCATCATCGGTGCTGGACTCGCCGTGGAGAGCCATGAGGGCACCGAGGTCGAACTTGGGAGCCTTGAGGAGCTTGACCTTGCGGATGTGGACCTGAAAGTGACATGTTAGCTACCCCGCCGTGCTTCTGTTCCCCGTCGCTCAAAATTCCACATACGTTCTGGAGAGGGTAGATGCCCTGGGTGGCCTTCTCGATCTCGCGGCCGATAACCTCGGGGATAAGCTTCGAGGTGAGCTGCTGGAGGGTGCAGCTGGAAGCCTCGCGCTGGATGATCTCGGTCATCTTCTTGCGGATAGCACGGATTTGGGAAGAAGCGGCATAGGTGGTCTTCTTGATCTGGTTGGGGCGGCGCTTGGTGAAAGCGATGGCGAAGAGGCGGAGGAGGTAGTGGTCGGTGGTCTGGACGGTGACGTTGGCCTCGATCAGAGTCTGCCACTTGCGGACGAGCGAGCGGAGCTTGTCGGAGGTGAAGTCAAGGCCGTGGAAGTTGGTGAGGCAGTTCTTGCCCTGGACCTCATCGACGCGGAGCTTGACCTTGCGGAAAGCGTGGTCCTCATCCTTCTGGAGATCGGCCAGGGAAACCTCGACGATGCGGCCCTTCAGAGCATCGTTGGCATTCTTGAGACCAGTGGTTCTGTTGACGAGGGTCTTGCCGACGCTGAAATCGCTTGTTAGAATCGCTGCTCGGGTTCCTGCCTGCTCGTCTCGCGGCGATCTGTGGTGTTCGGGATTTCAAAGCTTACTCTCTGATGGCGAAAGGCGCGGGGGCCTGTGATTTGATTATTTGTTAGCCTCGCTGCCTCGACCGAAACTCGATTATGTCGCGACGTACCTTGATGCCGTACCAGTCCTTGCGGGCGAAGGGGTCCTGGGCCTTCTTCTTAAGGCCCTTCTTGCCCTTAGACAGTCTCTTGTTCCTGTGGACGATGGTCAGCCATCATCAAGTCCAGAATCCACCACCAGGCGGCCGAATTGTATCGCGAAGTCGAGGAACATCGTGGGTATCGCAGAGAAAATCGGTTTTCGAGGGGTTCAACGTACTTGCCAACAGCCATCTTGACGCAGCAATGTCTTCGGTGACGGGAAGTGCTGCTTGGTTAGTGATGGAGACCGTGCAATCGAGGACACGAGTTTGGGTTTCTCTGCTTCGGAATCAAAATTGAAATTCGTTGTGTGGGCTGCAGCGCACCTCCCATCAGCGGAAAAACTAGACCTGTGGGGCACTCACTGCGGGGCATGATTGGCTGCACGGACCTTAGGGCTCGGAGGGCCGTGCGTTTTTGCCTGCTCCTGCCATTCACTTTTGGCTTGCTGCTCTGCTATCGATAAGGTGAGTGCTGGGCGATAAGATAAGCACCACTTACTCCCAGCTCCAACCCCTCCCCATCACCTTTGCCTTTGATTACCACAGCCTCAAACATGCTCTCGCGTACTATTTCCCTTGAAGTCACAACTATCGGTGTTGCACTATGCCCATAACACCACACTTTTCGGTCTCACATCACACTAGTCAAAGGGGAGCACTGGCTATTGTAATAGTGTCTTTGATTTTTATTTTTTTTGTGTCTTATGACTAGATTATTTTTGATCATTCTCCCGCTTGTCCCCCTCGAAATCAAGATCTCAGTGACAGCCTCCCAAAGATTCAGCAAAACGAAAAGTTTTGAAGAGAGCGACGTAAATTCATTCCATCGACCTTTTTTCCGGCCAATGATCACCTTCCCTTCCAATTAATCCCCATCCATCCATCCATCTATTCATCCTCCTTGGGGTGCGTTTACCCTGGCAGCATATAGGCTCAGGGTCACCCGACGTGTCATGACGACATAAAGCTACACAAAATGTTTTGGTACAAGGGCGGTGAGTGCGCATAGGTAGGTGGGTGTGTTACCCTATTTCCTCTTTTCAACGTCTTTGTTGGCGGGGTGAATGACTCCGACCGTTTGAGACGTGCATCCCATCTGTGGGACGCTGTCGACCTTTCGTTTGGGGGATCATATCGTGATCCCACGTCACCAAAATGAGTGTTGTATCGTACAAAATGCTCTCTGCGCCGTCGACCCTCCAGTGGAAACTCCCTCTCCATCCCGTCGTCGGGAGTGCCTCAATCTGAGGCGTGTGAGAGGGGTGGACTGGCTCGGGGAATACACAAAATAAACAGTCATGGCTGCAAGTGCTTCTCAATCCGAGGGGAAGTAGGGCGTGGGCGTTTCGATGATGGGTTGGGTTAGGGGTTCCGGTTTCTCCTGGCGAAGTTCCGCTCCAAAGGCATAGTAGCCAGATGCGTGGCAGCATTCAGCGGAACTGCCCTCCAAAAGAGATCAGGGCGACCTCTCAAGGGGACTTGATCTCGGACTCCTTGTCGTCTTGCTGGCTACCCTCATAGTCATCGAAGCTGGGGAAGCTGAAGTACCGTCCCGAGACTGGGTTTCAAAGTCAGCACATAGTCCGGGACACAAGTGAAAGATGGCAAGACATACAAGGACGCTCATCATACGAGTCGGGCTGACTGACAGGCGAGACGGATAGCTCTTGCTGACGGTCGACACTGTCGAACATGGATGGCCGGACAGAGATTGGTGAAGAAGATCCCGGAGGAGAGCCAGAAACGAAGGCACGGGTCAGGAGGTCGGTCGCTCGGTTTGACTGGCTGCAGAGGGCATTTCGGCTGGCGTTGGAGGTGGTGATGGAGGGTTCGGTAGCAGTGGCGCGGAGCAGTCTTGGTCTTCTCTTGCTGGCGCTTCGGTCTGATGAATCTCTTCGCTGCATGCGAGAGTCGGGTGTGAGTGTGAGTGAGGCCATCATGATGACTAAGGTGGATGTTGATGTCGATGTTGATCTTGATGCTTGATCTTCGGTGTTGGTTGTTGATCCTTTGGCTTGGCTTGACTTGACTTTGGAGTTGTTAAAGGTCGAGTCGAGGGTGGAGGTTCACATTGATATTTAGCTGAGGCTGAGAATCAAAAGTTGGAAAGTGGAGGAAAAGGTTGGGAAGGGGGGCCTATTATTATCGTGGGAGTGGAGGTGCTCCAGTGCTCCAGAAGAGTTTATGGGAGCCGCCCACTTGGGCTGAAATGCGATCCGCTCAATGCCGCAAAATGTCTCCAGGTTTCAATGACGGCACTTTCGGGCTACATTGCCACTTGTCAGTCCATGGGTGACTTGGGACAGGTTGGCATGGCAAGGAGGGGCGGGTTACGGGTTGGCTTAGTCGAGTTCGACCAAGGCACCAAGGCGAAGCGCGGAGTGTGACGGTGCCTGGCTGGGCTTGGTTTCTCGGATGGCTGGCCCAGGCCATCGATGGGTTGACCACCCACCCATCACTCATCCGTCCCACCAGTCAACATTGATCAGATTCACTCACACTCACTACCCGTTCGGACTCCCGGCCTTCGGCGTGTGTGCAATAACTGCAGAACTGCCAGACTGCAACCCGCAACTGTGGACAGCTCACCCCCCGACACAACCCACACTCTACCTAGAGAGAGAGTCAATATCTGACGGGCGCGGGCCGTTGCCAGACAGACATTGGACAGATATCAAGCACGCACAATTGGGCATCCTACCATCCTCCGACTCAACATCACGAACCAAGTGCGGTTATAGCCTGCAGACCGGTGCGTGTGGATAGAGTGCTCCAAGATGCCAAGCCTGTCGAATGGCACCCCATGGCACCCCCGTCAGGCTCCCAGAACAAGACCAAGGTGGGGTGCGGAAAGCACCGATAGCCACTCAAGTCGTGACACTTCAACAACGCTGAAGCTGCACTCTGCAGGTGCTGCATGGTGTTTGACGGCCATTGGTGATGCCAGCTCCAGCGACCCAGAATAACAAAGCCGAGCCATCAGAGACTTTTTGTTGGAGCCGATTCCAGCCTAGACACCGGACGCCCAGGCACGACGAGCACGAGGCACTCAAGGGTATACGAACACACCTTCAGAGCGATCATCGAGATGGAAGGAGATTTACTCGGCACACAGAGCAACATGGCAACAGAGCAACATGGCAACAGAGCAAAAGAGCTACAGAGACATAGCCACGGTAGTACAGCCAGTGTCTTAAGATGGCCGGACGCCGTTCCGTTGATGCTTCAGTGAAAGGCGCCGAGTTGGAGCTACACCTGTCAGCATCAACTTTGATACACACATTTGAGCAACAACACCAAGGAGTCAGTCATCCAGTAGTCAGTCCACCATCACCATGACCCCACACCACACTACCACCATCTGCAAGCCCAAACCAGACCGGTAGGCAGCTAGCAGTCTGTCCTTCTCACTGGTGCTCTCGTGACAGTCGAGATCTCTCTCAATCGTTACAATCGCCTTCCTGTTCGTATAGTAGTTGCCCCTCCAATCGCCCTTACCGGTGCTGCAACGCAACCGCACCTTTTGGCTGTAGAGTGCCACACAATCGACCGCAACTGGCGAGAGAGATAGGGAATTGCAAACGGGCAACCTGGAATCTCGCTCTTTGTGCTGATGGTCATCTGGACAGTCTCCTGCAGCACACAACACACAGCACACAGCACCGCGGGCATCTCGGACAACAAGTACGGATTTGATATCATTGAATTTGCGAATTGATTCTTCCAAGGTACGTTACCCGCCCGCATCGCACGGCATTTCTGGCCTCTCCCACGTTGACTTTGCACAGGGGACCCGGCGACCCGACGGCGGTGCGGTGCAGCAAAGACGTGGGGAAGCCCTCTCTTTCCCGCATCAAACACCAACACTAGAAGAAGACCATATCTGCACCCCCTACTCCGTCCCCCATGGGATGAGAAAAGAGCAAGACATTCAACAGCAAAACCCCCCAACAAGGACAACTGCGCGATTTTCCACTTCTTGGGGGTTTATGTCTGCCATAAGCCAATAATGTCTGACAAGGGGTCGAGGGCCGATGACATGGTCCAATCCAAGATGATCTCCAACAGCCCATAATCAGTCCAATAACCAAGCCCAATTCTACGCCTCTCATCTTTCGTCATTGGCAATTGGATCCCCGGGGAAGAGGGAAAAGCATCCCTTGCTGCGCCGCAAGAGAGTCACCAGACAAACAACATTTCACGGGCTCTGCTTCCTCATCCTGCCAGCCAGCTGTCCTTGGCCTATCCCCATTAACTCCAAACCCCGGACCGGTGTGCAGTCATCGTGTCACCATCAGCCTACAAAAACTCCCGGGGGAAAAATTGTATCATGGCAATCATGATGATGTATAACTAGACAGGGGTGATACAGAAACCAACACGCAACACATCCCGTAACCGAGCCGGATGACAGAAAACGAACATGGTCCAAAGCAAGGAAAATAAGGTGAACCAAGAATCCGGTTCCTTCCCATCCCCCCCTGACCGCACTTCGGCACGGTTACGTGCCTCTCCCCGCTGCCGGAACGGAAAACTCTAGTCCAGGTACCAAACGGGAATTGCGGATGAGCAACGCATAGACTAAAAGTCTTGGAAGAATACCCATGTCTATTCTGTTGTAGTAGTAGCAGTAATACTTTGTGTACATACTGTGTACACACACACACACACGCACACACGCACACAAGAGCAAGATCCGAATCTGTGTTCCTCGCAAATCATCAAGATTCCAGACACCAACAGCTTACAACAACAACAACAACAACAACAACAACAACAATAACAAGCTGAGAAATCGAATGCTTGTTCATGCTCGGTGACGCGACATCCCATTGTCGCGCCCTTTTCCCTCTCCTATGGTTGTAGGCATGTAGATCACCAAACTCATTCGTCGTACAGACCTCACCACCGTCCGCGTGACAGTCCAAAAATTTTGACATCTTTTCTTTTCTTCACCCCATCTTCCTATTTGCTCTTCCTAATTTCCTCCTCGTGGGGGCGTTATCTAAAAAAACAGCGTGATTTTTCTGGTTGGAGGATAATGTTGCGATATCTTACGCACTACTAATAAACAAACATCAGACCGAGAAGCAGCCTAACTTGAGCACAAACGGCTCTCTCTTTTGGACAAAAACACTAAAACCCAAGCCCTCGTGCCTCAAGACTCAAACGGTATTGGTTCAACAAATCACATTACTCATATTCCATCTCCTCCCCCCCCCCGCGCAACCTCAAGTAAAAATCGAGGTACATGTTCTAGCGTGATCTTTTCCCAAAAGGCTCTTTTCTGTCTGACATTGGAACATCTCCCCCAAGCTTCCTTCCCAAAACCAAGAAGAGGCGGGCGAACCGCATTGCTCTTTTTCTTCTAGTGGTCAATACTGTTGTATCTTTGTGTCAGCCACACCTCTCACAGCGACAAACGGCCCGGGGAATGTCATTCGCGACTTACTCTTCCCATATCCGGCCTTGAACAGCCTTTAGCTCGTCATCAGTCATTCGGTGACCTGTCGTGAAATACCCTAACCAGCAAGTTAGCTTTCTGCCGGGCCACACACACACACACACACACAACACTACGTTACTGTCCCACAGCAACACCAGATGATGATAGGGAATGTCTTATACCAGCAGTAATCTTCGCATCAATCTCAACCCTCGAATCGGCCGGGATCAACTCTTCAGGAAGCTCAACCCGTTCATGAATAGGTATACTAAAATACACAAGATCACGATCTCACGATTAGCAACCAGTCACCAGATTCCCGGAGTGTCCGATTTTTCCGATAACCTCAGACATTCTTTGTGTCCAAGTGAATCCCATGGAAAGAGAGAGAAAAAGAAAAAGAACTCTGTAAAACTCACCCTTGACCAACAATCGCATCGTGTTTCATGCTGCAAATCGAAAAGAATTCATATCAACCTTCCATTCTTCCCCCAGGATCTCGGCAAACGTGAGGGAAAAGGGGGGAAAGGGAGACTCACTTGCTCATGCTGAGCATCCTGTCAATCTTGGTGATCCCAAGCCAGTGCAGAATATCCGGCATCAACGCCTGGAACCGCATGTCCTTCACACCAGCAATGTTCTCCGTCCTCTTGAAGTAATCTGATGCCCGATCCTCCCCGCGTTTGCGCGCGTTGTACACCACTACCGGCATTTGCAGATCAGGTTAGACCAATACACTCTCTCACTGACACAAAGAGGATCTTCTCTCCGAGAAAGGAGGCAACCGGTACACCACCAAAGCAGGATTTCACTGGGAAAGATGCAAAACTTACGGTACTACATTTCCGTTCCATGTCAGCTTTAAACCCCCCCTTTCTTGTTGAACGGTAACAAAACAAAACGACATCGGAGAGAAAAAATGAAGTTTTTTTTTTTTTTGCAACATGACATACCTTTGTAACCTCACCCAGCGCTCTGCCCTCCTTGCGAAAGTAAATCACCACACCACTGCCACCATTCTGTGCCTCCTTGACGGCTTCCTCGATGCCAAAGATCAGGTAGGGCCTGCAGGTGCAAATGTCGGAGCCGAAGACGTCGCTGCCATTGCACTGTGAGATGAGGGGGGCGGGGTGTCAGCACGGCAATGACAAATATCATAATGACAACAACAACAACAACAACTGATGACCGGCCGTGGTTAGCCGGTTGGGTTGGGTTGTTTTGTGATTGTCATACCTCGTCATGGATCCGCAAAGCCAACCTCTTGGACGGGTCAGACATATTCGCCGGGTCGCCAAAGACATACACCGTCAAGCCACCTGTAAACCAGCAACCGTCACCTGTCAGTACTTGTCCCACCATCTCTCTCCGTTGGAGCAAAACTCACCAATAGGCGGCAAAAACACCTTGATATCCGACCTAGTGATCAACTTCCCAACCCCACCCCCCCCTTTTGTCAGCTTTTCTCGCCCCTTTTTACTCCCCTCTTTTCACATACCTCAGGATACATCCCCCCCGTCTCCTCAAACAAACTCCTCCTCAACACCCCCTCCTCAATCCCAAACCTCTCCGCAACCCCCGGCAAGTACCAAACCGGCTCCACCGCAAACTTGGTCACAGCCAACTCCCCCCGTCCATTCAAACAAACCTTGCCATCCGGCCTCAACCTCCCACTCCTTACGCTCTCCTCCAGCTCCGGAAGCGTCATATGCGCCTTTGTAACCGCAATCGTAGGCCGCAGGTCAACACCTTCCCTTTCCATCAATCCCTTGTGCGTCCAGGGCACTAAATGCCCCCACGGATCCATAGCCACAATCTTCTTCTTGTCGCCCCACTGGGGGAACGGTCCGATGGACACGGCGGGTTCGGTGTTGGTGTAATCGGGCTTGTGGTTGTGGGGGAGCTCGCCCGAGGCGAGGGCGAGCGCGTAGTAGATGGAGTAGGAGCCTCCGTGGGCGCCGATTGCGTTTCGGCGGCCGATGGTGGAGGGGGAGCGGGAGACTGTTACTGGGCCTCGGGACAGGGGGTCGGGAGCGCCCCAGTTGAGGGGGAGGGGGGAGATGCCGATTTGGTGGGGGTACTTTTTTGGTTTCTTGTTAGTTAAGGGAAGTGGTTAGAGGGGGGAAAGGGGGGGGAACGTACGGTTGTGAGGATTACACGCGAGGTGAATTGCTTCGAGGCGGTGGCCACCGGGGAGGTAGGGGCGGTGGCGGTGGGGGTTTGGGTGCCTGCTTCGGCGGGGAGTTCGCTGGTTGGGGTTTGGGTGAAGCCTGTTCTTAAGGGGGTTGCGGACCGGTCGAGGGCTTGGGCGGAGGGCGGGGAAGAAGAGGAAGTGTCTTTCTTCTCGAGGGTGTTGACTCGGTCGGCGATGGATTGGACGGCGGTGAGGAGGGCGGTTTGGGTTTGGGAGATGGACTGGAGGGCTTCCTTTAGGTCGTCCATGTTTGTTGATGTTGAGCCCATCGTGAAAGTAGTTTTGCGGAACGTAGGTAGGGAGATGGAGCTACTACAGCTGAGGCAAAGTGCTACCAATCTAGAAGCCGAGGATGGAACGGGACACAAAAAAACAACAAAGCTCTGGTGGAGGGAGCGAGATCTTCGGGATCAAAAAAGATAGGTAGGGTTCTGTAGCGGTTTGGTCACGAAACACACAAGCCCCTAGACAGACAGGAGACAGAGAACACTGAGTAGTCAAGTGAAACCCGGTGCGGGCAACTAGTATTCTAGTATATAAAACGGTTGGTAATGAGACAAACACATCGGAATGTGGCAGGTTCCGGAGCTCGGGTGAGACCCCGTGATAAGAAACCGGCGTCATTGGACGGGGCTTGGGCCGCTTCGACCCCCAGAAGCTGGTATCACCGGGCGGTCGGGGAGAATGGCAGGTGATCGATAATAGTGCAAGCTGGCTGGCCGTGTGTTGGCGTTCCGGTAGTGCTTGCGTCGACCCCTGTAATCGCTGTCGTTGTGCTTGTGCTTCCACGTCTTGCTCCACTCCGGGAGGCCGGCGGAGGCGGGGCACCGCAATCGGATCGTCTGCCGCTGTGGATATCACGGAACTGGGTTTGGAAGGCGGACACGTCTCTGGAGATGATAGAGAACCGATAACGGGAACGGGAGGTAAAGCCACAGGAAGGTCAGCTGACGGCGAGGGGAAGGAGACCGGTGTCTTGTTGGCTTCTGTTGGTGAGACAGACAGCTTCTGTTGGATTAGATAAGAGAAGCATAACCTCTTCACAACATGCTTCACAACAGCATCCTGGGACGAACACTGCAAGGTCGATGATCACTCCAAGTTAGAGGAAGGTCAAGAGCTCCCCTCTCGCCGAGACGGGTGGTGTGGACCCGACAACCGCGGAGGTTTATCGAGGGCACGGGCCACAGATTAGAAGTCCGACCCTTCTTGGCCCCGCTTGGCAAACCCGGTGGAGATCAAGGGAGCCTTGTCAAAGTGAAGCCTTCACCTTGAACCTTCTTCTTTCACCTCGCCACACCTTACTTCACTTCACCGCACACCGTAACTCGCATGTAGCAGCACGCTCCACTTTGAGATTAGCGGGGCAATTTAATCCGACGCGTCTCCAGCGCATGAGAACATGGAGCTTGATTGTTAGGCGATGACCGAATCCTGTTGAGAATCCAAATCAATCCATATATCCCCTTATCACATCACCTTTTCTGCATCAAACTCTCTCCAAATAACACACCCATAAAACCCCCGGCGCATCCTCGCACAAACCCAGCGAAACCATCAATTCAATCGCGCAACCTACCTCCCTCTTCGACCCCCGGATAACCACCAGAAACAATGGGCAAGCGCAAAAAGGCCACCAGAAAGCCAACCGGCCCTCGCAGGGTACGCATCCATCTCTCTCTAATCCAACCTTGCGCATGATACCTAACAAACCCCCCCCCCCCCCTTATAGAACGAACCCCTCCCCTCAGTCTTCACCTGCCTCTTCTGCAACCACGAAAAGGCCGTCTCCGTCAAGGTCGACAAGAAAGCCGGCGTCGGCTCCCTCGACTGCAAGATCTGCGGCCAGCACTTCCAGTGCGGCATCAACTACCTCTCCGCCCCCGTCGACGTCTACGCCGAATGGGTCGACGCAGCCGACGCCGTCGCCCAAGAAAACAGCGAGAAGGCAAAGGCCGCCGGCGCCGGCGGGCGATCAAGTAATAGCGGGGGGCGGGCAGCCCGACGAGTCGAGGCCGATGACGACGAGGATGGTTATGGGGATGTGATACCGGATGATGATGACTACGAGTGAAATCTCTCTTCCTGGGTTTTGTTTGTTTTGCTACGACAAGATTTGGTGGTCTTTTTTTTTTTTTTTTTTTGGGGGGGGGGGGGAATGGGAATTGGGAAACAGGGAAATAAATGTATGGTTGGGGTGGCAATCAATCGATCAATCAATCATATCATGGCGACAAGTATTTGAGGCAGAGGAGGCATAAAATTAGTCGGCGGGTGTGGAAAATATTAATATCTACGATGCTTTTCCTTTTCAAGACAAGCAAAAAGATAATGATTTGCTTTGGCCTCGTATATATCGGCTTTTTTTTTGTGTGAGCGTGTTTTATTTGTTGGCGATTTTTTGCTACATTGAGTTCTTCACCGGGTATAATATCTGTCGCCAAAGTCACCAAGGCCTGGGATGATGTAGCTGTTAGGGTGTCATAGGGTTAGCTCTTACTCACCCATATCTGAAAATCCGAAAAGGAAATAAACTTACTTCTTCTCATCCAACCCCTCATCCACAAAAGCAGTCACCACCCTCGACGCAGGGAACTTTTCCGCAAAGTTCTTGATCCCCTCCGGGCTAGCAAGCACGTTCAAGAATAGAATCCTCTCCTCAGGAACCCCACGCGACTTGAGAACATCCACAGCCATGATGGCAGAACCGCCTATATTTCTGATCAGCAACCCCCCCCACCTTTCTGACACTTGACATGAAAAAAACTCACCAGTAGCAAGCATAGGATCCAACAACAGCACCCATCTATCCGCAATATCCTCGGGCAGCTTGTCATAAAACAGCTTCGGCTGGGCAGTCTCCTCGTCACGCTGGATCAGGATCTTGCCGATCCTCACCGAGCGGCAGCAGTCGCGGAGCCCTTGCTCCATGGCCTCGCCGGCGCGCATGATGGAGACGCCGGCGATTTTTCCCTGGAAGGAGAGCCCATCGTAGGGGCGGCCGACGGGGGTGGTGACGGTGTGGGAGATGGTGGGGAGGTGGTTGAGGCCTTCCTCGACGAGGAGGCGGATGATGCGGTTGGAGTAGAAGACGAAGTCGCCGCGGGCGGTGGAGTGGTTGCGGATGATGCTGGGGTTTTTAGAAACAAATTGGTTATAGGGGAGGGAAGAAGGGAACGGCTCACGAGAGGAGGGCGATTAGCTGGGGGGTTTGGGGGAGGACGGTGACATTGTCAAAGTGGACGACGGTTGAGACGGTGGCGGTGGGCTTTTGGTCTTCGGCGCGGTATTCGGGGCCGACGCACTTGACGGGGGCGACTTCTTCGGTCATTGAGTGTGTGGGATTGAGGTATATGGGAGGTAGGTGGTGATGTTTAGAGTGAAAAACGCGTATGGCTACAATAAGGGATTATGAGAACGGGAAAGTAAGTTGAGTAGAGTTCGATAGTAAACAGGTGTGCGGAGATAAGGTGAACTCCACCCTGAGCAAAAGTATTTTGCAGGTAGGATATGCCGGGAATCACCCTTGAAATGTAAGGTGCTTCCGAGGAGGAGGAGAGGGAAAGCGAGGGGCCCTTGTATCAGACGGATGAGGTTAATTGGGATCGTGTCTCTCTCTCTCTCTCTCTCTCTCTCTCTCTCTCTCTCTCTCTCTCTCTCTCTCTGTGTGTGCGTGTGTGTGTGTGGACAAAGGGGACCCGGAGCTTATGGATTGGGAAGCTGAGCACACGAGGATTTAAGGTAGGTAACCTTAATCCTAAATACTCGGTGGATTGGAACTACGAACGGTTTTTTGCCCCTCTCTCAAGGCAAGCTTCTTCCTATACCATGACACCAGATGGCAGAAAACCCCTGGCTGCAGTTGTCTCCAGACCCCACCTGACCGTTGGAAGACAACGTGGATAGGGTTGATCAAGCAGGTGGACGCCACATGACAGTGATAGCTGCAAAGAGCTTTTAGTCATGGATAGCTGTGGAGGGTTGAGACATTGGAGTTTGTTGTGTGCTCTTTTGGTTCGGGGTCTTTTCTTGACAGAGATAACTGCGGGGTTGAGAATCCTACCATGTGCTTGGAGGGGCTATGCTTGGATAAGATAAGATGAACGATATGATATGTAGACTTGGACTTGATGGTCACTTGCTCTTGCTTCATGTCCTCATTCTCAGTAATCTAAATAAAATCCTGAAACCTGGTTCTTTGTTTGCGAAGCTAGTGCTACAGATTCTTTCAGGCACAAAATTAGGCCAATTTTCCCGAGAATTGAGACGAAAGATCCCCTCCATGTTGATGGAGGCGCAAGAGAGCTGGAGAGGTCTCAACCTTCCTTTGAAAGGCTGGGTGCCAAGAAAGGGGGGCACGGGCTACCATGCAGGGTGGCGCTGGGGCCGGCAACGGGGAGACTGGGAGTTCAAGAGACAAGATGTGGGGTTGGTGCTTGTTTCCAAAAACAATGAAGCCTCATGAACAACCAAGTCGTGAACGCGTCTGCTGCTGCCCATGAGCAATTGCAGTTATCCCATCTCCCAATTTTCCACTCTCAACGGCTTTTGCTCCCGGCCAAATCACAGCCGGCCACTATCTACGTCACCCAGGAGCAGTTGTCTTTGTTTGAAAATCTCAGTCTTCGCACACACCGTGGCAGTTGAGTCTTGGGGCTGGTCGCATTGAGTTCATTGTCAGGACGCGGACCGAACCCAAACAGTTCACACAGCCTCTGAGCTCTCTCGCCCAGCGGCATTGACACCGCATCGCAAGACCAACTTGGAATGTCCCACTGACACTTTTGATTTTCCCGGCATCACTTTCATTTTTCTTTTTCTTTTTTTGAACCGCAGCCTCCAGCGACGCCTCCTTCTCTAGCGTCCTTCACTATGGCCAGCACCAGTGAGACCGACTTTGGCTATGCGCCCCAGAAAAAGGTCACCACTTATGGCAAACTTGCACGAAGAAGACCCAAAGCTTCCGCCGTTGGCACCCTCAGGCATGCCGAGTCTGCGCCCATCGTTCCCAGCGTGTCCTCTCTCAACAAGTCACCCATGACCTCACCTGAGCCTTCGCCTGCGCCTGCCTCTGCCTCTGCCTCCCGCACCCTCGTTTCCAGCAAGGGGAAATTACAAAACATACGTAAAGCTGGCCGTGACGCATCTTCGAAACCTTCCGATGTCTCTCACAGTCAGCCCCTACCTGATCCTTACGATATCTACGCCATTGAAGATGAACCTGAAGAGGACACTCGGCCCAAGAAGAGGAGGCTAGCTCGTGTGCAGTCAGAAAGGACGAGCAAGACCTCGCTTCCCTACTCAACACCAGAATTATCCCCTGAAAAGGCACCCTCTCCTGAACCTGTCACTCGGCGATCGGACCCGAAAGATAGATCCTCGGTGGTCCCCAGATCTCGACAGACACCTGAGCGAGATGTCCATATGCAGGATGCCCCACCGCCCGCTGCGCCTCTCTTCTCAGTGAAGACCACCAAGATCTTGAAGAACCTAAGCGTTGGTACAAAAAATAAATCCTCCAAGAAGCCCGAGCCCGAGAAGACGCAGATTCCAATACGCCTTTCCGGTCCACGATCATCCTCCTCGAAGCCTCTGCCTCCGATCGAAATTGAACCTACATCTCTGCCCACCTCAGCACCCGAACCGATCCCCCAAAGTCAGCCAGGAAAGGCTCCGAAGAAGAGGCGGTTAATTGACACCCTGGTCGAACAGGCAGATGAAGAAAGTGAATCAGAAGAGGACGCATTCTCGTCGCAAGACTCACACATCTCCAAAACCAGACGTTCTCCAGCCCTGCGGGACTCTAGTCCAGAACCCGCAGACAAGGGAAGAACTATGGCGCGTCCGGTATTGACAGCCAGGAAGTCGGGACCCAAGTTTACCTACAGCCAGCAGAGGTCCATGCTGGCGGAAGAGGACCCGTTGTTTGGCAGCGGCGGTTTGGGCGGTGGTCTGGACGACATGTCGTCCAAGGGCGCATTATTCAACATTGGGCGGCTCACCAAAAGCGCCGCCCTCAGCAAGTTTGCTTACCTCGACGAAGAAGAAGAGTTGGGGAACAGCGGCGCTGTTCAGAGTATCCACGAATTGCGACAGGCAGGTGCAAATAGTCGATTTGCTGATGAGATGGGTGATATCGTTGATCGCATCGGCGTTCCGTCACCAAAGGCTTCATCTTTGCGCAAAGGCGCGTTGCTGGAGCTGGCGCAGAAGATGAAGACCAAGGAGTTTCGGCGCCAGTTTCGGGATCACAGCGGGGATGAGGCTCTGTTCCGGTCGCTGGGGGAGGAGACTGACCTTGTGTGTGGGTATTCTATCCTGGCCATCGTCGCTACACTTTTGGCGGCGTCGCCTTCGGCGCATCTTATTCAGCAGTTACGATCGCAGGGTTTTGCTGCACTTCTCAAGCGGCTGCTTGATCAGGAAGAAGATATCAGTCGGCTGGTGAGGGACAGGAAGCACAACGTTTCGAAAAATATGCAAACTACTTTGGGGACGGTGAAAGCTTCTGTTCTTGAGCTTCCGGCGTGGAAACCAGCGCCGCCGGGCTCGTTGTCGCCGCGGACACTGGCGCTGAAGTGTCTGGAGCTTTTGCTTAGGCAGTCGACGCGGGTGTCGGAGGATGAGTTTTTTTCGCCTGCTATCACTGATCTTTTATTCGGTTACCTTAAGGACGGGACGTCTAACCCGGACAGCTGGGGTTTTCCTGGCCACGCAAACTCGTGGGATTTTGCGCTCTCTCTCCACGTAGTAGAAGGGCTCTCTCTCGACGCGATGCAGTCTTCCCGTCTCAGTGCGAGGTGGACGAGGAAATACGCGCCGATCGTGGCGGACTTGCTGGACGGGGCGCTGAGCAGGCCGGTGGAGGGGTTTGGCGACGAGCTGGAGGGGTTGGTGCTGAGGACGTCGATTAACGTCACGAATCACAACCCTGACGCGTGCCGGTTGTTTGTCGAGAGGGGGCTGCTGGGGAGGTTGGCGAGGGGGGCGTGGGGCGCGTTTGGGATGGTGATGAAGGTGGAGGTGAAGGTGAAGGAGGAGGGGGGGTTTAGGGGACGGGGGCTGCTGGATGGGCTGATTATCATGCTGGGGGTGATGATTAATTTCTGTGTTTACTACCCGCCTGCGGGTGAGACGCTGGCTGGGGAGGGAGGGTTGGAGGGGTTGATTGGGGTTTTTGCTGATAATCATTTGAAGATGGCGGATGTAAGTTTTGTTTTTTTGTTACAGGGACTGACAAGGTTGCTAACAATGAGGGATGTAGGCCGACTCGATGGAGAAGACGCAGTTGAATGTGGCGCTGGGGTATTTGAGCATACTATTGGGGTATCTGTGTCTGCACGAGCCGATCAAGGAAAGGTTTGTGAGGGTGCACCCCAAGAAGAGCTTGCAGCCGCTGCTGGATTCGGTCAATGAGTTTATTGCGCTGCATATCAAGGCGGCGGGAGTGAATGGGGAGGGGGGGGAAGGGGGGGGTTCGATTGAGAGGTTGAAGGGGTTGAGTGAGCAGTTGGCTGCGAGGAATTATTGACATGGGGGAGGAGGGTAGCTGTTATCGAAGTTGGCTTGGTTGGGCATGCATGTCTTTTGATAGAGGTTTTGTTGAAAATGGCGGGGGGAAGGGGGGGGTTTGTGATATCAGGGTTTGCATATGTTGGGCGTTTTGTATCGCCATTGAATTGACGAAAAGGGGGTTTATTTTGGGAGAAGGGGGAGGGGTTTTGATATGGTGGGCATGAAGTGGAATGGATAGTTGTATGTGTTTGAGGAAGACATGGAATCATGAGCAAAGTTTTGGCTTCGAGGACACACACACACACGCACACATGAGCGAGCATGAGGAGCTATGATTTTAGGGGGGGGGGTAGTGAGGATGGCAGGGGGGTTGTAAGATGTATTGTATGAGGCTCTTGGAGTGGAAAACATTAGACAGCAATGGGGATAGGTTAGGTTGGGGAGTAAGGTAGGGATTGAATAAGCGATGATTTTTACACTTCATGATTACTGTCCGATGGCTGCTGTGACTCGAGACGAAACTGTTGAACATGTTTGTTGTGTGACCTCTTATAAATTCCAAAGAATATTACGGTGGTCTTGATGTTTTTTTTCAGGGCAGGCTGAGCATGAACTTGGATAATGTAGACCCTTTTATCAATCCTAGCAATAGGAAAAAGATGAGTACCTTGACGACGTGTATCTAATCGATAATAGAAATATGCTCGTTTGGCAGCCGCCCCTGAATGATTACCCCTGAAGTGTAATCAAGTAAACAAACCCTGGCGTGTTGCGATAGCTGTCGTGAATAGAAATATAGAAATCAACTTGTTGCCCTCTGTGTATCTTCTACATATCACTCCTTCCCATCACTCTCCAACAATAACATACATCTCTCCCCGCCCAGACTCTCTATGCACAAGAAGTCCATCTTGTATACGAAGTACCCGAACCTTCAATGCTCCTCGCCTGCTGACCTACATTGAACAACACCACCATAGAGAGCACATTCCCCTAAACCACAATCAGCCCGTCACCAAAATATACAAAACCCGCAACAATCTTCTTTTCTAACTCGTCACAGTCCATCGCAATGGATTCATCCGCGGTCTGATATTAACATACAGAACAAACCACCACCAAATCACCACCAATAAACACCACAGTACAAAACTCATATCAAATAAATTTTTTTATTTCATCCCCCCCTCCGCCTAAACAACGCTTCTTTTATGTTGTTAAACTAGGTAAACGGTAGACAGCAATGCAAGCTCCTCCAAACCACAAACCCCCAAAACTCCTCAAACACCACCACCACCACCACCACCAACCCAAAAAAAAAAAAACCAAGAGAGCCATTGGCAACCTCCACAACCCCCAAGACAGAAACCTGCAAAAAGAAAACCATTCCCAACAATCTTTTTACACACACTCTCTTTCCACTCACTCACACACACGCCATCATTTGTTATCTTAGAGCCCCCCCCCCCCCCCCGCCCTTCTCCATCTTCCCTCATGCCTGCCATGAAAATACAACCGAAAAGGAAAAAAAGCCGTGTTTGCTGTACATTATACAAGTGCTATACTCAAAGTAAAAAAAGCGTATCGAAACGAAAAAAATATTAAACCACAGAAAGAAGCCATCGTAGGGTACCTAGGCAATGCTTTTTTCCCCCGAGCAGAAAAAAGGAAAAATAGTGTCTGTTGAAAGGAGCGGTGGTGTAGGTAGGCTAGATCGATCGGTTGTTCGAAAGATTGTGTAAGGTCGAATAAGTAAACAAGGCAGGTAGGTACCTAGGTGTATTCTCTCCGTTTGTATCAAGCCACAAGAAAAAAAAAAAGGGGTATCTCAAGCACCAACACACTGCAACGGCGGTGGACTCGCCATCCTCTCCCCCCCATCCTTCTGCAGCACCACCCCATCATTTCCCTCCCCATCCCCATCATCCTCCTCCTTCACCGGACTGCCCGGCGGCGGAGTAAAATAAACCGTGTTCCTCTCCTCCCTCGCGGTAGGAAGATCATCATCGTCATCATCCTCCTCCTCCACAACCGCATTCTCCAACGCCGTCGTCAGCGCATTCGTCGAAATGGCATTCTCCTCCTCCTCCCCATCAATAGGCGGAAGGGGCGTGTGCCGACCGTCAGAAAAGCTGATAGCCGCATCACTATCCTCATCAGACGGCAGCGCGAGGCTGCCAATGGTCTTGTGGGCCGCTTGAGCCGACGAGTACTTCCTGTGCAGCTCCCGGAAACTTCGGGCCGTGGCCGTGCTCGCGCTGGCGGCAGATCCCCGATGTTCGCGCTCGGATACAGACCGAGCAGTGAGGATGGATTGAAAGTCCGTGCCGTCGCTCGGGCCGGTCCGAACACTGCCTGCGTCGTCGCCACGGTGCATTCGTTGCCGGATGCGCTCTTCAGCCGTCAGACCTTGGATCTGGAGGTCGTTGTTGAAGTTGATCACCGAAGCCTTCTTGCCGTGTACGACAAAGGAGCCCGTGCTGCGAGGGAAGCTATCCGGTGAATCGCGGCTGCCCTCGTCGGCATTGGTGGCACTGGACGTTGAATCCTTGCCCTTCCGGTGGCGGTGGTGCGAGAGGTGACCGGCGCCCTCTCTAAGGGTGCGCTGGAGACTGCGCCGGATATTCGTCTTTTCGAGCCGATCGGCCGAGGTGCTGTTGGAGTGGCGGCCACGCCTCTCGGGTGTATCAAACGGCTCATCGCCAGCCGTCGAGGACTTGGTCTCCGAGCTAGCGGCTTCCAAAAGTCCAGCCTTGGCAAGCAGGTCACGCTCGTCCGCATCCACATCTTCACCTGGTCCCTCAAACTTGGGCTTTTCAACAGTCGTGCTGGACTCGGCCCTCTTTCGAGATGGCGTAGCTGGGGTAGAGCTGACTGAGATGGCCGTCGAGACCGAAGCCTTGCGATTATCGTTTTGATCAAGAACCGCGGCCGGCGACTCCCATGTCCGTTCCTGCGTAAGGAAGCTCGTAGAGGTCGCACTGGTCGGCGGCGTCCGGAAGACCTCGGTGACTGGCGATGAGCCTTCAGATTTCGATGTGACGGTTGAGGTTCTGGTGAGGGAGAGCGGAGCGGGCGACCGAGGACTCTTCTGGGCTGCAAGGCTGCTTCCCCTCGAGTCTTCCCTAGTGATAGGCACCTGCAACTGCGAGTCCGCAGGAGTATCGAGAAGCTGGCGCTCCTCTTCCAAATCCAAAGAGAGAATATCACGGTGACACTTCAGTTTCCATATTTCCATCCGCGTCCACTTCAGCTGCGCAGCAATCCTCGCACCCGCCAAAAGCAACGAGTCGCGGGTCTTTTGCGAAATAGGGGTCAGAAGCGAAAGATGTCGGGCATTCCGGTGCTGGTCGGCAAGTGTCTTTTCGACTTCCTTGAGCTTCTCGTCAGCATCAGTAATCTTCTGCATCATGATCTCCCTCCGCGCGGCCAAAATATCCTGTGCCATCTTGTGGTCAATGCGGCTGCGCGAAACCGTCACCTCTCCGGTCGGTGTCTGGATCACCTGCACATTATCGCCATCCAGTCTCCTGAGCGCTCTGCGCCCCTGACCATCGATATTCCCTCCTATCACACCTCGCATGCGCACACCAGAGGTCCTAAACGCAGCAGCATAATTGAGCTTGGCCAGCCAGTCATTCATCTCATCCTCGTCTTCCGCCAGCAAAACCTCCTCAAGCCCGCCATTCTTGACATACACGAATGCGTGCTTGTGTTTGTTATAGCTCTTGTCCATCAAAGCCACGGCGCCGTCTGTTGACATCAGCGCGTCGGGCTTGAAGGCCTCAAGGGGCGGTTTGAAGATGCAGGGATCCCCATCGCAGCCCTTTCGGAGATGGTCCTTTTGCTGATGCATCAGCGACTTGACCCAGGTGGTGTTCCGGAAGAAGTAGAGCTGGGCACCTGTGAGGATGGCACCCCACTCTTGCCAGGGAGACCTCGTCTTCTTCTTTTTGGCATCTTTCCTCCACAACAGCCCGACCTTTGTGACCTTAATATCCACGATACCAGGATGGGCCTCCTCCGGATTCGAAGCTGTCTTTTCCGTCATGAAGGCATCGGGTCGGGATCTTGCCGAAACGATCTGTAAGACACCGGTCTTGAAGAAGGTCTTCTGGAGCTCCTTCATGTTCAGCGTCTTTGCCGTTCCGAGGTAGCTGTACGGGTCTTCCAGGTGCATCACATCTCTAAAGTTTGGCCGTAGCAAATCCAGTTTTCCCTCGAGAATAACAGCGTATGGATCGACGGGCTCCTTTATCGTCCGTCGCGCTGGATCGGGCGCTGCATTCAACAAGAACGGCTTCTTCTTCACCTTGTGTGGGACGATCCGCTCTCCGTTGATGTCGAAATCATCCTCGACGTGAATAAAAGGGGTATATGTGATGTTGTCGTAAAAGACCTCCAAGACCTCCTCATAAATGCCCTCTCCTCGAGTGTTTTTGAGGTAATCCACTTTCTGCATCTTGTGCTTGTTGTTCTTATTGAAGACATCGGTGTGTAGGATCAAGAGGGAAAAGGCAATAAAATAGGCCTGGTCTGGTGAAGCGTAGATGCCGGGGTTGCACTCGTGATACCGGTTGGCAAATGCCTGGACAAAACGGTCGATCTGCTGCGTCTCCTTAGGAAGTTCGGCTTCCATCAGCAGTTTTCTCAGAGCCATGTCCATTGGGTCACCAAAAAACATAAATCCACGCATATAACTTCGAAGCACGGCTTGTGCAAAGGGCTCGGTGTTCTTGGAGAGAGCAGCCGCCACCACACTACGGCTGACAACTTCCAACAACCGCTCGAGATATCTGGCGGGAGTATCATCATCCCGACGCTCCGGGAGGATGATGGACTCACGCGATATCTGGAGCGAGTTATTCTTGGATGCGCTCGAGGCAGGGGTGGCCGGGGTAAGGGTCCCATGCCGGGAGGATATGGAATCGGTATTGTGTCGTAACCTGCTAAGACCGAGAAGGTCACCAAAGCTCTTGCGGCTGGTCGACATGGATGTCCTTGATGGAAGAGTCAAATGTTCCTCCACGGACTCCCTAGGCGTATTGTTACCGAGGGAGCTCATGGTCGACGAACGGCCCCTCCGGTGGATGTAAGTTCTCGTAGGTGAAGAGTGACCAGAGTGCCTTGAATTCGGCCGAAACAGGGCAGTTGCTGGTGAGGCATTCCCTTTGCCAAATAATGTGACAGTTTGGCTGGGTGAGACTGACCCGCCACTCCGAGATGGTGTCCTAGAAGGAGTCGGCGTGAGCTGGGAGCCATTGAGGGATGATTTGCTGGCAGTCGACCTATCCGTGCTGACTCTGTTCGGTACGGATAGCGATGAGCTGGAGAGGTTGGAGTTGTGCGTCATCGAAGACTTGTTCTTGGGCTGTAGGTGGGCAATGGGGAAAAGAGAGTCCGTCTGTTTCTTCCGCCGCCCCAGCTTGAAAAAGGTGGTAGTAGTATGTATAGTTTGAGTTGTTACTGTGGTGCTCCCATACACCCTGTCCCCTGAGCTGGCATCGGATCTCGAGGATTCTGATAACCTGGTGGCAGGCAGTGCAAGCGTCGATGAATGATCATCCCCATAAGCCGGTGGCGCATGAGAAAAGGATGCCCGAGATGGTTCGTCAAAAGTGACACTCTGCTTCCCATTCGAATTCGCGCTGCTATCGGCACTGCTGCTTTCCTCTGGAACAAGTGACACTCTTCTGTCCCCCATTGTACCCAGGCCCAATCTCTCGTTCGAATTATCGGCTAGCTCGGTCCTGGAAATCTCTCCAGAGCGGCGTAATCGCATTGAAAAGTTCATTCGGGATGGCTTCTTTCGAGGGGCGGTTCCGTCAAACGTGGTGGTCGGGGCCGTGGTGATGATCTCGGGAGCTGTCTCATTGTGTGTAAGCAATTTGAAATGGAGACTTTGTCTGGCAGAGCGCTCGCGCAATGCAACGGAATGGCACGTACGGCGGGGCATGGGAGGAGCTTTCTCGGCCGCCGCGTGCAATTTCGCCTTGGCTGCTAGTTGGGAGTCGGAAGCATTACGGAATCTCAGCATGGAGAAGCGCCGGTGCTTGTTGGAGTCGTCGGGCAGGGCAAGGGAGACGGAGGCGCGAGGCTGTTCCTGGGCGTGGGTCGAAGCCACCGAGATGCTATCGCGGGGCAGCTCCATGGGCGAGATAGGCGAGGCAGGAGAGGGAGGAACAGGAGAGGGCGGTGCGGGAGCATCTTCTGCAACCGACGTCAGGGCGGCGGGCAAGTCCGAGGTCGATGATTCGGCACGGATGGGCGGCTCCTTCAACGGGGGAACACCGGGCAGGGCGTCAAACAGTGAGTGCCGTCTCATATCCGTCTCACTGCCAACATTGCCGCGGCGTCGTAAAAACGGCATGGTGGGTTGTAGGCGTGTGTGCGCTCGTCATAGTTTTCCCATTCGTGATGCAAGAAGTCGTCGCCGGGCCCACGTCGCTGCCGTGAGCCTTGGTGTTGGGGTGGTGATGAGAATCGCAACCGGGTATCCGTATCGTTAAATTAAGCGTAATTCGGCGGGTCCGTCAGTCGTCGTCGTCATTCAATCGCGGTAGAGAAAGTGCTGTGAACGAGAGCTGTGGGAGCTTGAAAGTAAGGAAGGAAAGGTGCTGGCTTCGCTTCTGTCAGCGGAGAGATTGATTGAGCTGAGTGAGAATGAGAATAGGGAACAAAACGTCTGAGTGGTTGAGTTCTAGGGGCAGATGAGAAGGACGGTGTTTGGGTTGTTCCTTCGCCAAGGGCAGCATGTCCCGGGGGGAGCGTCTGGGGGCTTCCTGGGCTTCCAAGACCGCACCAAAAGCGGCGCCAGGCCCCAAAAGGGAGACCCAGAGAAAGCGTGGGAGGTGGGCTTCGGTGGGCTGCGGTGGGATGCGGTGGGCTGCGGTGGGCTGGGCGGGTCTCTGGAAGACGACGCAACCCGACGCCGGCTCAGCTCCTTCCAAGCTGAGCGCTTGGTCCCCACCTGTAGCCCCCTCCAGCCAATCAGCCACCTGCAGACCATCCCTGCCCTGCTCTAAAATGATAATTTGCAGATCGCGGGGCAGACACGCAACACCCCTGAAGCTATCCAGACCTTATTTTCGCCCTATCTTGAAGCTTCACAGGGCAAGTCATATGGAGATAGCTCTTTGATGCCATGATGATTCTCTCTTTTCTATTCTCGGGCTCAGCTGTATGCTCGGCTTATGCAAGAAATCCAGCCAATTCAAACCCCCAAAAAACATGCGACACGCCCACGACGATGAGACAACTCCCTGGTGAGCTGTTCAAACCCCCCGGTGATAAGATATGGAACCAGGCGGGTACCACCTCGTGCGCTACCAGCTTCTTATTTCGCAAGACTCCATCCAATATACCCAATGACCAGCTTCACGAGAAAGCTTCATTTTCCCAATTTTCTATTTTTGGGCCCAACGTCGAGAACTCCGTCGCCTTGTCCGATACACGCAAAAGCTAAATCTAGAATCGGTGGACTGACCGCAAGTGATGTGGGGAACAAAAAGCATAAAGTTATCCAATGCATCGCTGTATCACTCTGTAGCTGCTATGCAAATACACATCAAGACGCTTTGCCAAAAGGAACCTAAAAAACCACTGATACAAAATGCCAATGCCCATGCCGATGCCGATGCCCATACCCATCCATAACGCCGCTCCTGTGCAATCGTCAAGTCTCTATCTCCGCCTCTTCAGATCACTCCATTGATCGGCCGGCGGGTTCTGGACATGCCCACTTCCCTCAAACTCCCCCTTCTCAATGCCATTGTTGCCGAGGAGAAAGTCCCCGAAATACTTGAGGGCATTGAGCACTTCTTCGCCTGTTGGCACGATATGGTCAGCCGGTAGCAAAAAGCCGTAGCTACCAGTATCGCGGAGCTTGATTTGGTAGCTGTATTTGGCTCCAATTTCATGGTAGAACCAATCAATAGCCGAGCCACCGCCGCCTTCCACGCGGGTGTCGTCTTTTCCTCGGTATGCCGTAGCACTCTCACAGGCAGAGGTCACTGTGTATGCCTCCCCGCTCGACAGCCGTATGGCCTTTGCCAGTCCAACACCAAGTTCCATCAAGTTTTCGAGGTTGGGCGGCTGAGCAGCGCAGGTATAAGAGTAAGGGAACAGGATCTGCTGCGAGTACGAGTGCATGTCGAGGAAACCCACAAACTTGACTCCATGTTGAGCTGTTTGATTCTTGGCCCAGTTTGCCAGCTCCGACGCTTCCACGGCATGGAAGGGGGAATCGCCTCCGTAGTTCTCTGAGCATGGGCCCGCCTTGTTATTCGTGGCCCATTCATAGCCAAATGCGTGGTCAAGATCCATGCCAAAGCAAAAGCTTGTACCGGTGTCCTGTCTCGATTTGCGCCAAAGCCGGTCTTCCTGCCATGTGTATTCGTAGCCGTCGGGGTTCAGGATAGGGATGAAGATGATGTCGAATTTATCGAGCAGCTTGGTGACCATTGGGTCCTTGTCGTAGGCGGTGACCATGGACCACATCAGATATGTAACCGTGCTGGTTGATATCCATTCACGGCCATGGAGACCTCCAGTGACAAGTATGGTTTTCCTCGAACCACCCTCTTCTTCCTCTTCGCTGCGTGCGCCGACACGGAGGGCATGAATATCCCTCCCCTCGAATGACTTCCCAATGCTCGTCATCTCTGTGAGCGATGGGAACATGGCTTCCAGCAGCCGCATCCAGCTTGTGACGACCTGAAGAGTGTGAGTGTTATTGATCAAGTGGGGATCGCCCGGACACCAAGACTTACCGACAGCCTCTGATAATCCTTGAAGAATAGGTTACCCATTCCTTCCCTGGATGTCAGTACATCGAGGGAACTCGAGCTGAATCCCCCGGTTGTCTTCTTGGGGTACGTGGCCCAGATGGCGGCGGGCAGATCGTAAATCATAATTTCTGGCTTCTTCATCGAATCTGGCAGTTGGTCGACAATCTTCTTGAGATATATCTTGGCATTATATATTCTTGCGTCGACATAGTCGTGCGAGATGGACCAGATGTCGAAAGCTTGAAGTGTCCGGGTTATGTCAGTGAGGAGGCGCTTCTGCTCCAAGGTGGTTGCGTTGAACCGAACTACGATGCCACCCTCATGCCTCGTGGCAACAGCCGGGTTGATTTCGTAGGTGTCGAGGTCGTCATCTCTCAATTGCTTGCCGAAGAAGGCCTCGACGGCGGTATCACGCAGCCATCTTAGAATAGGGTAGCCGTTGCTGTGCTGAAGGCGGCCGGCTTGGTGGTCCCGGTGCGAGGGTTCGATCCAAGCAGCAGCGGCATCGACGGGCAGCGCGAGGCTAAAAGCGAGGGCTAGTGGTTGTAATCGCATTTTTGGTTGTAGTTGGCGGCTAGGGTAGAGGTGCGCCTGGAGGAGGGAAGATTTGGGGTCGAGGTTCTGAAGAGATAAAGTAATGGATGGCGTTATCGCCACCGGCCTGGAACAATGGCCTGCATGGTGTGCGTGGGGTAGCAGTCATGGCTGCCTTGGCGAGGCCTTCGAGTGGAAAGCGTGGGTAAGTGCAGACGCGTGCCTCTTTTAATTCCGAAGCCCGACACGTCCGTACCTACGGTATTTGGTTGACAGGCGTCAAAAGTAATTCATATGCGCCAAACTCTAGGTGATCGAGAACTGTTCAGTAGGTACCTACCTTGGGCAACACGAGAAATTACACAACCAGCATTTCTTGGCGTGCCAAGATATCTTCTTTCTGAAAATCTCAAAACACTCAACACCGTTTTCTTGGGTGAGTAGAAACTGAACATCTATCTCATTGCGATCAAAGCAAACATGATAGCGCTCTCTCATAAGATCCCATCAGGGCATCCCATCAGGGCATCCCCGCCTCCGTGAGGCTGTGGAGGTGACCGTTAGTAGCGACCACGTAGGTTGCCCCTCTCTGACTACGCGGCCGTCAGCGCCATGGGCTTAATTGAGGTCGACATCTATTCAACCCAATCATCCCCTCAATGGATTTCGTTCAGGCAATCGAACTGGCTATCACGGGCAGAAATCAAAGAAAAAGCGTTGACTAACTGAAGAATATTGATCTAACGAATGCCCGTCCCCCGTTAGCAAATGATTGGCTGTCGTTGAATCTCAACTGACGCATGCTGCAGGTTCTGTTCCCTCGGCGGTTATAGGAGTAGTTAAAACACCCGATCCACGGTAGGGCAAGAGACACGAAGTTTGGTACCTGAAAATTGCTGTCCAACTGCTGGTATATCTGGTGTAGCCCCGCTTTCCAGCCTCATTTTTGACCCCAGGGACCATATTTGACTGTTATACTGCCGCCCAGCTGGTAGAGCTTGGATCATCAACTTACATCATTGTACTACCATCTTATGATCTTCAAACCACCATCAAAACATCTCAGTTGACGCCATGGCGGCGTTTGGCAAGAGCATCCACGCCTTGCTGGACACTTACTCAAACTGCATTTCCTTGCTCAAGGCCTTCAGGCATCGGGGCGATGAGCCAAATTCAACCACCCCAACACCAGAGACAGCGATCTGTTCTCAGGACAAACAAGCCGTTCTGCGGGTGTCTTTAAAGGTGGATCGTGACTTGGTTGAGAAGGCCTATTCGTCAAGAGTTCGCCAGTCTGGAAACCGCTTCAGAAAAGGAGATGGTATGTCGCCACTTCGTCTCGGCATTGTGGCATGACTGACCTTAGTGATAGCCCGCGCCATCTCATCAGTAGACGGTGTCTTGAGGAAGCTCAAAGAAGCTATCAAGAACCTGCTGCGAATCTCCAGCCACAAGCAGAATCTTGACCTGGACTATGAGTCACTCATGTGTCTCTCCAATGCTTCCAGACTTGAGACAATCAAGACCATAGATGGCCTGTCCCGACGGCTTGGTAGCCCGTCTCGTTCTTCACTGGCCTCCCATTCTTCAAGGGCTTCATCAAAGGCTTCGAAGACATCATCCAAGTCATCGTCGTCGAAGTCATCCAAAACTTCTCCGGGTTCTTTGTCGACGTCACCATCACACCGGCACAAACTGTCACCCAAGACGCCCGAGGCGCCCAAACCGAAGAGAGAGTCTGCCCAACAAGAAAAGAGCTCCTCAAGCAAGAAAGCATTGCCCCAGCCCAAGAAGGACACCAAGGATGGCAAAACAAAGAGATCGTCCAGCAGCGAGCTAAAATCTGCAACTCCGAAAGACCCACAACCAGCAGCACCGTCACCAAAGTTGACTTCGCCATCACCAGAGCCAACGCCAAAATCACCAAAATTGACACCAGCCTCGCCAAACCCAACACCGGCCTCACCAAAAAACTCAAAAGCATTACCAAAGCTACCGAGGAAGGGCTCAGTAAAACACGCGGAAAAACATTCATCAAGAAGTTCAACGGCACCACCTAAGTCAGCGAGTTCGCAAAAACCTCCATCCTCACCAAAGCTACCATCCTCACCAAAGCTACCATCCTCACCAAAGCTACCATCCTCACCAAAGCTACCATCCTCACCAAAGCTACCATCTTCACCCAAATTACAACCCGCACCATCACCACCGGCTTCTCCAAGCTCGATCGAAGCAATCACTGCAAATGCTCACTTCGCCATGGCCGCGATTCCAAGACTCAGCCCCTCGTCCTCCCTCCACCCCAGGACATCCCCCAACCGGATATCCATCATGTCCTTCTCCTCCGACAGCACTAAGCTTGGTGAGATTCCTCAGCGGAAATGGCAGCCAAGTCACAGATCCCTGTACATCACCACCACTGGCTCGCCAAGCGAGGAAGAAGAAGACGAGTACAACATCAAGCCTGTTTTCCCGCTGAAGCCATATACGGTCGAGGTCAAGGAAAAGGGCAGATTCTGGGGGTTGTTTGCGAGGAGGGGATCTCAGTCTTGATGATATTTTTATTTTTGTTTATTTTATGATTTTATGACGCTTCATGACGACATACGATGATATATACTGATTCACGACCGTTTTACCGATTTACGACAACTTATACCAAATTCTGACGACTTTTACCGACTCACGACTTATGATTAACATGCCATGGTTTTCCTGTTTCTAGAAGCTGTCATTACGAAACTGGGGTTCTATGCGCCAAGAGGCGGGATACTTTACAGTGATAGCATGGGGATATGTGCGCCACGGGGTTAACGTTCTGAAATTGTACAGTTGTGGAATCTTCTGCTGTTCCTAACCTCGTTCACAACTCGGCGCTGGCGTCGTCATGTTAGAGATATTGGGTACCATTTTATGTAGGATTCGCCCACGTACTCACAGGTGCAAGATGTATTTAAATTGTTTTACACCTTTACACTCAACACTTACAGATTCCAAAATTCATCATATCAACATGGTGGTGCTCGAAGCTGGTGACCTTAGAGGCTCTGTGTAAGCCGCATTTGCCATGGACTATGCTCTCCTCAGATCCATAGATTTAGTGGTATCCTATTGTCGTTTTTCCAAATTCCCCCGGAAGAAACCCCGTCCTCCTTGATTCGTAAATTTCATGCATATTCTCTCCAGCATTGCCGAACGGGACAACAACCGTTTCAGGCTGTCGTCATCGCACCAGTGTGCCAACGACGATGCTAGGGGAGGGGGTGCTGAGGAGTGCGGCGGGGATGTTGAGGGGGTTGGGGGGGAGGAGGGTGGTGAATTCAGCGGGGATGGCGACGACGAGTTAATGAGGGGGGGATGGTGCCGACGGGGACGGGGAGTGGGAGTGGGAGTACGGGGGTTGTGGTTAGTGGTGGGGAGGTGTTGAGAGGGAGTGTGATTTGGGGGATGATGGTTGGAGTGGTGATGCTTGGGATTTGAGGGTGGGTTCTGGGGATGAAGTAGTGTATACCTCATTTGCTAGAAGATTGAAATGACCCATGAGGTTGCTCTTCTCTAACCGAATGCTCTCCCTGTATTTTCCCAACTTATACAGAGTAGCTCCAACTCGTTGAGCAGTCTTATTTGAGCCACCACGGCCACCACATAGCAGTCAAGTCATACACGACACCACGACAACGCATGCACGCAGGCCTACGGACCATCGGGACTGGCACGCCGGGATGCGTGTGCACTTGCCCCTAAATAGTCAAGGGTTGCATGATGAGGGCACGGTGTTACCGCCTTTTCGGCGGGTTTTTTTCTTTTTGCAGTTCAGGATGGAATTTTGTGGTTGCCACAGCTTTTGTGTTTTTGTTTTGCCCGATTGAGCGGCGATGAAAGGGGGGAATGGGGACATGATGGGTGGTCTGTGTTATCAGCGATAAGAAATCAATTAAACAGGCGTCAAGTTCGTGTTGTGAGGTGTGTTCGATCGGGGTGGGGCTGCTGCCTTGTGGCCGGCGGTGGTGGGCGGTGACGGGGGAGGGAGCTGCGGGGAGTATAAAAGGGCAGCCGGGATCCCCTCGAGGCCAAAAGCTCAGCTAAAAGTTAATCGGTTTTCCATCTTTTTCGGGTGCCCGGTTGGGAGCCTTTGGAACCGCGGAGTTGAGCGCTAAAGTCCGATCGATTTGGGTACGGCAGACGGCCTGTGTTCAATTCTGGCTGTTCTGCCTGCCCAGGAGATGGGGGGTGGACCGTGCTTCCCTTTCAAACCTCAAACGCGCGCTGCCCGAGGCTTCGAAGGCAGCGCAAGGCAAGGCAAGGCAAGGCACGGAAAGGCCCACTTCGCGTCATTGTGCCCCCCATGTTTGGATGCAACCACGCTACGCCAACAATTATTCGAGTTGTGAACGCGAGCATTGATAACTGCCCTGCCGTTTGGAAAAAGCAACTAGCGATTGACCGAGCCCACGACGACAGCTATACTCCTATACAAACACCCACTCCCAGTAAAGTGCTCTCAGTTTCCATCTCTTCCTGAAGCTTATCTGGTGTTTGGCGGGGCATTCACTGCAAGACAAACGGTTCGAGCGCAGGGGTCGTTGACGGTTGGACCCACCGACGCGACTGGGTGCGCCTCGCCAGGACGCGCTCTGGAGAATGAAACCAGCCTCTCAAATTCGGCCCACCCTACTTCGAGATCTCAATTAACGAACCTCTCCTCCGTCTCTCCACCCAAACTCGCCTCCCACCACCCGACACCCCGAGCCGACCACTGTCGAGTCGGCGCCCGCACCTATTCCTGTCGCCAATTGCTTGCAGAGCGAGCGACGCGGTGTCGTGGGATCTATATGTGACCATGGCCACTCCAACAAACTCGTGGCAGCAGCAGGCGCCCTCGCACCACATGGTTGCCCAGCCAGCCGGAGTCGAAGATTTCGGTGTCCAGACGAGGCCGATGGGATGTGAGTTTGCCATGCCCTGACCTTGACCCAGCCACACAGATCTAATGTCATGAAGTGAAGGTGCAGTATACCTTCGATCGAGATAGCCAGGTCAACTGCTTGGCTCGTTGGCCTCACCTGCTCCACATCCAGACAATTCCACTCGACGAAAGAACCACAATCGGCGTGGTGGACCTCCGAACATGTCTTCAGGCTGTCGCCCAGTCCAGCCCTGAGATCGTCAACCAGGAAGAGAACGACTACAGTGTGTATGCATATGACTTTTCAGAACCCGATGTGCCCCTGGTAGGGCAAGGGATGCTATCACGGGGGCTGGATCCGAACAATGAGGCGGCACAACAACAATTGGTCCCAGGGCGAGTAACCCGCAATCTGCTCGCCCTTCTCAGCAGCGGGAGCCGGGAAACACTCGAGGTGAAACTCAAGTTGACAATGGTTGCAAAGGCGCCACCACGACCAGATTTTTCAGCCCTGGAGGGCTTTAACCTGTCAAACTCTTCTCAGATGCACGTCGACGACAACTCGGAGTGGAACTCGTTTGTTCAGTCCAGCCAAATGTTTGGTCAGAATTCGAATGTGGCCCAGGTACCATCACCAGCGCTTCCTCCTGCTCCGGTCCAAAATCACGGCTATCACCACAATCAACACAACCCTCACAGTCAGCCTAATCAGCACACTCAGCATAATCACCACTTCAGCCACCCGATGCATGAACCTCGGCCGATGGAGATGAGAAGTGATAGTGCGCCTCCATATATGAATCGGCCATCGAGTATACCACCACCTGAGCCCCAGCCAGCGGCTCCGACGCCACCTGCGTCCCACGGCCTTCCTGGCGTCGCCACAGTCCCTGACCCCCCGAGGACGCACACCCCGATCCATAGCGCTCCCTCACCAGCACCTCAACCACAGCCGACAGAAAATGTAGTCGAGATGCAACCACAAGCGCGTCCTTCCCGGCCGTCCTCACGAACCTCAACGAGAAGTAGAAGGCAACGACCGCCAACCGGCAGACCACGAGGCCGTCCGCGCAAATCGACTGCAGAGGGCAACACGTCGGCGGCAGAGGAAGCCACTGACGGTGATGAAGGCCCACGGAAGAAAAGGGCAAAGGTTATCCGGGCAGACTATGCGGCCGTTGTGCCGTTTGGTTCTGCACCAGACTCACTCAGAGTAGCTGCCAGTACCTCAGGGTCGTTGCGCACCATGAGACCCATTGGTTCGGGAAACGACGCCCCGACGCCTAACCATCTTCAAGATGTCCCTCGTGCGCCAACACCAGTACCTGATGGGGCTCTTTTGCAGCAGCAGCAAAGGAGAAGAATGGTAGGCCACAAGGCTCGGTCCGAGTCCGTTGGAATGGAGAATATCCCCGTCTTTCAACACAGACAGCCCCAACTACCCATGCATGAGATGAGCCAGGACGCCCGCTCACCCGTCGAATCATTTGGTCAATCACCAGACCAAGGTTATTCGCCCGAAGACAGCGTTGGTGACCTGGGCTCCTCACCCCCAGTCCCGCGCACGACCCCCTACCTCCGGTCTAGTCCACCAGCGTCGAGTCCGATTCTTCCTCCGATGCCCATGCGGAATGTCGACTCCGGCTTTATGAGCGGCGGTCTTGACGACTTTTTCGACGAGGATGATATGATGCCGGACCTACCCCCACCACGGATGCAGGAGCTTTCTGGACCCATGCCTGCGCAGATGCAGATCGCCCAGCCCGTACCTGTGCCCATGACCAGCAAACCCAACAGCCGCAAGAATAGTCGAGTTCGTACTGCGTCGCAGCAACAGGAGGTGACATTCCAAGAAGTAAACCCTGGCCCGCCAGAACTGCTCCCAACCAAGAGCCTCTTCAACCCCGCTGGGCGTGTTAAGACCTTGAACCGACCAACACCCCCACCTACCACACACCGGCCATCACCACCTCCTGCTTCCCATCAAGCCGTGGAACGGCCGACAGCTTCCATCCCGTCCAATCAGCCAGCGCCAAAGAAACGAAACGCCCGGTCCCTGAAACGATCGCATACTGCCCCGAACCCGGTGGTTTCGGAGCAAGAGGCGCCGGTACAACCAGCACAGGCGCAACCGACAACCCAACATTATGGCCTGACCCAGGAATCGGCTCTTCCTCCACATTTCGAGCAGCCGCCTGGGAGCATGAACGGTTCCGTGCGGCCCACCGCGGACTTGGACAACAACCATGTCGGAAACGGTTTCGCCAGGGCCTCTGAGCCTGCTCAGTCGCCTCGAGAGGTGTCAGTTCCTGCAGCGCCGCTGCCGGTGATGGAGAGCCGCGAGGTTGTCGAACCTTGCTTCCACCAGCAGCAGCCTCTTCCGCCAACATCTAGACCGCCTTCGCGCCCAGCCTCGCAAGACCCTGGAGTCCCAACCGTCCCAGCCAGCGATGTCGGGAACGAGCCAATCTTGACTTTGCCGCAGCCATTCATGTCCGAGGCCCCGTGCCCGCCGAGCGATTTTGACGCGCCTCGCTACAGCAAGAACCTGGTCAAGAAACAGACTATCAAGGAGCGGTTGGAGTCTGCCATCATGAGAGGGGAATCCCCCCCATTCTGTAACAACTGCGGCGCAATTGAGACGCCTACTTGGCGTAAGATATGGATCCAAGAGCACAAGGGAATCCCGCCGTTCTATGAGTTTTCGGATAAGCCAGGTTTCGTTACCATGATTGACATTCTCGAGCGGGATGCGGAGGGCCAGCCAGCGGCGTATCGGTTGGTCAAGAAGAATCTTGGTACCAAGGACGACAAGAAGGTGTGGGTTGAAACCCTCTTGTGTAATCGTAAGTTTTGTCTCGGCGACTTTAGGCCTTTCGCAATCAAACTAACCTAGTGGCTAGCTTGTGGCATATGGCTTGCCAAGTTCAGAAATCACCGCCCGCCTGACCGGTGGGAGAAGGATGCCGCCCGCCTCAACCAAAGCCGTAAGAGGCGCGAAGGCAAGGGCAAGAAGAAGTCACGGGCCAAAAGCGATGGGCCGGTGAATCCCACCTCGGAAGCCTACTTCACGACGGACCCTGCTGGCCCATTGGACCATGAGTCACCAGAAGAAAACATTCCTGAGAGCATCCCTGAGAACGGGACGTTACCAGAAAGCCACAACACAATCGCGACCGATGACAAGCTTTTAAACTTGCGGAGCTCCCCAAAACAGCGCTTGCCGGGATCAACTCACTCGAGGGGTAGTGGAACAGCGGACAGCCCCATAGCAGTTGAAGATGATCTCGGCAGCACAAGAAGGCTGCTCTTCCCGTCACCTAGGAAGGATGCAATGCCCCGGGTTCTTGGGGAGCTTTCGGCAAATGCCACACAAACAGTCACTCACGGTCAGGTGGCCAAGTCCGCTACATCGGGCAAGGAGAACCACAACACTCTTCCAGCGCGCACTGGTACGCCAGCCAACGGCGGCGACCAGCTCGATCAAGAGTTGTTTGGTACACCTCCCCGATGCCCATCCACTCCACCTCCCAGTTCCACTGCCGCCGGTGTGTTCAGGACACCAACCCGGCCGACGCCCAGTCATCGCCCCATAACAAGGAGTGTCTCTAGGTCGATGCGGTCCCATCGAAGCATTGTCAAATCGCCGATCGATGTCTACATGACCGCCCGCAGGATCACCACTCCCCGATCGGGATCCAACCACGGCCTGCTGGCTCCCCCCAGCTCTTCCGGCAGACGACGAAGTCCCCGACACGCCCCTACCCAGGCACATTTTGTGCATGACGATGATGCACAGCACTTCGAATCACCCTTCACCGCGAACCTCGCCCAGCTCCTGAGCGAAGCCAACAACTTCACCACCGGATCACCTTCCCATAGGCTGCCTGAGATTGATCTCGGGAGCCTTCAAGATCTGGACGAGGCCGCACTCGCCCAACAGCTCCTCGAAAGCACCAATGCCGTTGATTTCGACAACCTTCTCGGTACCGAGTTGGCCATGCAGCCTAGCTCGCCGCCCTCTACCAGGCGGAAACGTCAAGGTGGTGTCGAATTCGGAGCGCCACTGGGCGAGAACACATGGGCGGAACCACATGGTGCTGGAAAGGGATACTAATTAGGAAGATGGCCTTCCCACCAAGCAACCTTGTCCTGATTCGCCTGCAGTCGAATACGATTTTTTCGCTCACGATAACTTTTCCGATTTTACGACAAGCAACACAGGCACGCCCAACGAGCGCCGTCTTGATGCGCAACAAAACGACACATTCCACTTTCGATGATGTCGAGTAGATACCCACTTTTGTTCCGACTTTTTATGTTTTATGCGACTACAACAACAACAAATCAGCAACAATGTTGTTTTTTTTTTCGGTTTCTTTCTGTCTTGCTTTTATTTTTTTTGTTTTTTATATGTTTGATGCAAGAATAGGAGTGGTTCGGTGGTTCTGGAAAAGGGATAGGGGAATAACAAGTGGTTTTCTTTTTTTTCTTTTTGAACCGCATAGCCTGGATGGATGGATTGGGTGGGGGGGTGATCTGGAAAAAGGGGAACAGGATATCTGGTTCTGGGTTGGAAGAAGGGACTGAGCGCGTTTGGGGGGGGGGGGGGAATGGTGATGGCATTACATCATTATGATTTGGGGAGGGGAAAGGGGAAGGGAGTTTTTGCAGCGATGGGGGAAGTGTGAGTTACTTTAGCTTTAGTGTTAGTCAAATGTCAAAGCAAAGAGTATTGATATTGAGTGTATGAGGGGGGGATTTGTCTGTGTGTTCGTGTTGTATGTGAAGGCGGGAGGGGAGGGGGGACGGGAGGGGGGTCTGCATATTGCGGCTGTCGCTTGTTTACATCTCATTAAGGATGAATTTTGTTTTGCCGAGTGTCTTTATGAATCTAAAACCACTCACTGTCACTAGATGTGTTAGCACTGTTCTCAGAGGAGGAGATCCTCATTACTGTACTCCCCCAGTCTGGCTCTCCTGGTGATCGTAGGACGGACTCCGAGTGACAGTGGGTATATCTGTCTTTTGAAATGAACTAATAATCGCGCATTCCCGGGTATCCTTGAGTGTAAGAGCTGGACAAGTCCGTTTGACTGAGATGACATGAAGATTTCTTGGCTGTAATAGTGGTGCTTGTGCGATGAGGGTAAGAGATTCACGAAATGTGCTCTCCGGATTTTGGTGTGTGTGTGTGGGGGAGGGTTCCGGTTTAAGATCCTTCAAAGGTCTCTCTGACCAGAGTAACGGACGGGTATTTGAAGCGGTTTTTCCGTAACTGGTGATGTTGTGAGAATCCCGGGCTGTTGTACAACAGTCAAAGACCACGACACTTTATTCACGAAAGCCATATCTTGTCCTGTCATTCATGATATAGGTCGGGAAGAAGGAGCACATTTTATGAGTCACATTATAAACATATTGCCGTTGTGTGTATGGACCCGTAAGCTTGAAAAAAGCCATGTCTATACGTACTGTGAATACAAAGGCCACTCACCTATTCAGTAGGCAGCGAAATAACCGCTTCCAGGCTCGCACTCGCTGATCAATCAATGTAGGTTCTCCTAACCCCATCACATGCCATCGTCGGATCCTTTCCTTGAGGGGCTAGACCACAGGTTTCCGCGGGTAGAATCGGCGAGGGGAGCACCAGCAGCAGGGAGCTTGGGGCAGAAAAACAGGGTCAGGGCGACAAGAGGTGAGGGGAAAGGAGGTGCGGCGAGGGACGACAAGAACCTCAAGGGCAGAGCAGATGGTCAGTGTGGAGGCGAGAAAGAGACTGAGATGGGATGAGGCCTCGTATCCAACGTCTGTGTGTTCCCAACAGTTTGAGAGAATGTATAGATTTATCAGCAAGCCAATAGCTCTATTTGCCATTATCTATGAGCCACACAAAAAAAATAGTCGAGTCATGCTTCCATGAAAGGATCTCCGATCTCGAGTTGCTAGAAAAGAAAAGAAAAAAAATAGGTATATGCTCTATTAAGTTCCGTATGACGTCTACTCGTTGGTAAACAAGTTCTTGTGCTGATGTGTTATCTCCACCACTGTGTTGGCAAGGTTGTAGTCTGTTGTTGAAAACCATACCTGTCAGTGTTATCTGTGGCAAGGAGGAGGACATGCAAGCGAAAAACACTCACCAACGCCCGTGCCCAGGTCAAGGGAGCTGAGGACTTTGACTGACAGGTCTGGGTTTACTTTGCCAATGACTTGGACACCGTTGCCCGGGACCAGGTGGGCATCCTACAGAGGGTAACAACATGTTAGCCTTGCTTGCTCGGAAAGCTTGTTGTTTGTCTGCGTGTGGTTGTGGATAATGCGGGGAGCTGCAGAGGTGATATGTCTGTGTGGTTATGTGTTCTGATCCGATCTTGTGCATGTTGTGGTCGATTAGGTTGGATTGGTTGTGTGGGGAAGCTTGAGGGAGAGACAAGATGGATGAGGGGGAGAAGCTTACGCGATTCAGCTTGCAAGAGATGTTGCCGTCGGCGTCGATGATGGCGTCTTCACCGCGGATTTGGGCGACTTTGCCCACGACCATAACATTCCTGCCGACGTATGAGTTGAGGTAGGCGCAGGTAACTCTGGGTGTTGAGGTCTCCATGGCGTGTGTTTTTATGTATCCGCTGTTATGAAGATTTTTGACTGTGTTTCGTGGTATGTCGGTGGTCGTTTCTTTCCTCTCTTCTTGAAAGTAAGTACCTGCAGAAAATTTGGCGGATGTTTTGATCGGTCCCCTGAAGTAGATGTCTGAGGCTGACGAGGTGGTGCCTGGCACGCCTACCTATGAGCGGCGACCAAATAGAGTTTGGCCCGTGCTTGCAGGCAGGCAGGCAGGCAGTGGAGCGCTAGCCCAAAGTGTGAATGGCGTCTTGTGGGACCGTCTTGACTTTCTTGGCACAGCATCCTGTTTCAACCTCACCTGGTAACTGGACGTAGACAGCATTGTCCCCAGGAGAGATCTTGATGCTGCTGTTCTTTTTTACAAGATCATGTGTAAATTTTTCTTACTTGGCCGCCACAATGGATCTTTCAAATCAAAATCCATATCTGGGAAGCTAGACGTCCTTCTCCAGAACCAGGGCTCCTTGTTAGTGGAACTGGAAAATGCGGAGGTGGCGTCCGTCTTCCACTTCCTTGGGAGATCGCTTGGTTTGTCAGATGGGGATTTGGGGATGAGGGCCTTCAAGGATAGCTAATGACCCTGAAACATCGTGAAGATTGTTGAGAGAGTTGATTATCGGGTTGGCAGATCAAAAGACGTACTCTCTCGAGCAGGTTTCAGCGTGGGAGTTTCATAATCCACATATCCTGTCTTCTATGCAGAGCATCGAGCACCGCGCTCAACCGAGTCGTATGATAGTCGCATCCTAAGCAAGAAAGCGCGCGGAGCATCTGCATGATGGCTGCCGAGCTAGGTCGATAGGGTAATTCTCCCCGGTACATGGCCCTTTGTCCTGTTTTCACGTACTTGTACCTGTCGGTGTTGATCAGGAAGGTGTTCGGGAAGGTCTAAGCTAAGGTGAGCCCAGTGAAGCTCTAATATCTGGCACTGGCAGCAAGCCAACCCCTGTCAGCCAGCGGGCTGGTTCCGGTGCCAAGTGGGCCCTGCTGCCGACCAACCTGGAAAGCAGGATTGCTATCTCCGAGTCGAGCAAAAAAACCAACCTTGAACGAAAGCATCCTCATGAATTTGATGGGCCTTGAATTGATTGTATCAAGGACAGCGGTGTGGTCCCCAGTGCGCCCATGTTACTGATCAATTGAATAACTTTTCAGCAATGGTCTTCAATGAAGATAAGAAAAAGACTCTCAGATGAATAAATGCTTTTGATTTTGGGTCTGGTATGGCATTCCAACAAATCCCATTCTCATGCTGCGGGGCATATTTTCCAGAACCACCAAAGGCCGCAACTTCCTCTCCACCCTCACCTCGATACGCAGGCCGTGTTACACGACAGACTAGGTAGGTAGAGCGCAGACCTACTTCTCCGCTCCCGTCGAAGCACAGCACACACACACCATGTAGCCCCAAGCACCCTCCCCGCCCCGCGCAACCTGGAAGCCATCAGTCTGTCTGCTGGGGCACGATGGATCTTGTCCCATGGACACGATCGAGCTCGGCCCAGGACGGTTGGGGTTGATGCCACCCGGACCACCTGACATTTGATCAAGGCACCAAACAGGCGACTTCCACCTCTGCTGCAGCTCCTTGGGTCTTTCGCCTCCCCGTTCCGCCCTGCTAGCATAACCCCGTCCGGCCCCAGGCACGGCTGGTGCAGCTCAGCGGCTGGACGGGGACGAAGCTGCATGAAGCTCAGCAAGCTCATCGGACATGCAGCTGGTAGCTCGGCTTCGAGACCTGTCTTTGTTCTGGCCTCTCTCCATTAAGGCTGCTTGGGGTTTCCCCGCAGCTGTCGGATCTATGCCCGCTCAGAATCAGGATTCCTTGACCACGACCACAACCACAACCCTATACCCCGCTATCCCATCCATCGGCTTATAGCGATTGCCTGACAGTAACAGACAGACAGACTCCTTTGCTTCTTCCCACCTACCAATTCAAGTTCCCGCAAAACGCAACAAAGGAATGCGCCTACTTCCGGGGCGAGGGTGAGAGACAGACCAAACGCGGTCACACAACATTCCCGTAGCGAGCCGTGAACCGAAGAGACCGTTTTTCGAGAAGCCACACCACACACAGCCCACCCCACAAACCGCCAACTTGGGATCACAGTATGTCTGACGGCCAGTTTTTCAAATTTTGATGCTTCGCTCCTGCCTTCATCCTTTAGCTCTCCCGGCCAACATAGAGACTGAAGCTTTACTTCCATATAGAAGCGTTTAACCGCGGCCAGCACAACCCGTACCTGGTGCCTGCCCAACGAAGATAGGCTAGCCGGAGGTTATCTCCGCACCGGCTCCAGTCTTCCTTCCAGAGCAAGAAGCCCTGTCGAGCTTTATCAACCTTGTTTTGTTTGAGGACTTCAAAAATCAAACCCGAACTCTGCTGCAGAGATCGAGTTCACCTTATTTTCATTAACAACCACTTGGTATTTCGTTAACGACCACTTGGTATTTCATTAACAACCACTTGGTTGTAGCTGGCAGTCCATTGCATAGTGGGTGAATCCAGCAGACCATCACAGCAGCGAGATGGATGAGCCCACCCACTACTTTGATCAATGCCTGGACGAGTTAGAAGAGAGGCCTGCCTATCAAACACCAGACCACAATGTCGGTGAGCAACCCATGGAGCTCAACTTTGCATCATACGACGACAAGCTAGGCTTCGGGCCCTCTCCATCCCAAGATGACCCCCATCCAGATATCGACCTGGGCGGTCCATCATTCGACTGGCCAGTCGGCACCACCATGGATCCCAACGCTGGTCAAAAACTCTTCGTCGACCCAGGTCTCTACCATCCAGACCCCGACGGCGAGGACATCAAAGCCGACATGCAGATTCTCTCCATGGAGATGTCTCGCCCATCCACCCAACGAAGCTCATCCAGCAAATCGCAGTCGAACCGAGCCTCCAAGTCGGGGAGCACTTCCACCGACATCACCCTCCCAGAAGACGCCCTTCAAAGTCATGCACCAAATAAGAAGCGAAAGACTCGAAAAAATAAGAAGGAGGCCAATATGGAGCAAGACGAACACAAACGAAACAAGTTTCTCGAACGGAACCGCATCGCGGCTAGCAAGTGCCGAGAAAAGAAAAAGGTCTTTGTCTCGGAACTCGAAGAGGCCAAGGTTGGGCTTGAAACCCAGCATGCGGCCCTCCAGATGGAATTCAATGGCTTGGTACACGAGGTCGGCCAGCTAAAGCATCACTTGCTGACACACTCCAAATGCAACGATCCGAACATTGACCGGTGGCTGAACAACGAGGCGCGGAGGTATGTGCAGACCAGCAACGAGTTATTCGGAGCCGGGTTCACCTTCGGACAGCCAACAACAGGGGTGAGCCAACCTCCGGTTCTGACACCGGCATCACCACGGAGCAGGAATCCGAGCATCGCTTCGAGTCAGTACCAACTCCAGGCGGGGATGACGGGGTTTGAGGGATTGACGGGAGGGCCGGGGAGCACGTCGGGGAGTGACCGGCAGGGGAGCATTGCTTATCCTCCTGGTGAGTCTCTGTTTTGGGCAGCGGCCACGCCGACGGGTGGTGGGTGCTGCGGCGACGGGGGAGGTGGGTTCCTGTTGCCGGCCTAGTTTGAGACTTACACTCCTTTCCCAGGTCCGGCTGCTCTGTATGCGTCCCCGACCGATACTGCGTTTCCGGTTTCGTATTTGGATGACCCGGCGACCGGTGCGGGCCATGTTCATTTGAATGGTGGGGGATTGCTTAAGAGGGAGTCGTCGACGGGGTTCAATTATGATCATATGCCGGACTCGATGTTTAGTCCTGGGGTGGAGGATGGGGTGGAGGGTTTTGGGGCGTGATGAGAGGGGTGAAGGAGTGGTTGAGTTGAAGAAGGAAGCGAAATATTGTTTTTGAAAGAAGAAGGATGCTGGTGTCCACGAGGGTATGGACAAGATGACAATCATCGACCCTGAAGCTGGGCGTTTGTTGTTGACTGGTTGATGTGTCGTCCATACACAAACCTTGGTGGCCCAGAGGTCGGGTACTGCTTCCGATGAGCAGAGGCATCGTCGCTTTCAAGAGTTGAGAAAGAACCCGACACAAGAAGATTTCAAAAAAATAAAAAATAAAAAAACAATAAGGGGATACTGAGGAACACTCTAGCGAGCCACAAAGTCTAATAATACGGAGGAGGAAAGGAAAGAGAAAGAAAGCATATGTTCATACCGGAAGTTTTATATGTTCTTGCTGGGGTCGTTGGAGTTTGACGTTACTTTTGGGCTGGATCATGATGGTTATGGAAGGAAAATGATATTTTTTGGGAGTGTTGAATAATCCGTTCGTTCGTTGTGTCGTGTGTTGCCTGCCTGGCCCCTTGTTCGTCGGGATTAATACGTCATATGGTGTTGCCGATCAGGGGGGGTTTGATTCATGGGGGCGTGATTGGGGTTGGTTGGGTTGTATGAGAAGCTGCTACTTGGGGGTGTGTGGTAGTTGAGCAAAGTAGAATAATTGAAGAAGGAATTTTGTTCTTCTGGGACAGACATGTGAGATGTGGAAAATTTAAGATTCTTTTTTTTTTTTAAAAAAAAAACTGACAAGAAAAGGTGAAAGGGGGGGGGGGGCTTTGACAAGACACTGTGCGGCTGATTGGAGAGGGTGTTGGTCTTGTAAGCTGTGGCGTCATAGGGGGGATTTTTTTGGGGGTGGGTGATGATTGGTTGGTGATGTGTGTGAAAAGGTCGCTTGTTGATTGATAGGCCGGGACAACAGGAAGGGTCATGATAGTGTAGGAGGAGGAGGAGGAGGAGGGAGGGAGGGTGTTGCGTGGAATCAAAAGAATGATAAAGTCTAAAAGAGAAGAAAAAAGTAGTTTTTTGTAAGTGCGGTTTGTGTGGATCGAACACACGACCTTCAGATTATCCTGGTGGTGGATATTTGGATTTGAGTTGAAGTGGACTTCAGTCTGACGCTCTCCCAACTGAGCTAAACCCGCGGCTGGTTGGTAGTGGAGGGTGGAGGGTGGGTATATGAGGAGCGTGGTTGCGATGGAAAAGGTGAAAAAATGGGGAGAAAATCTTAATAAAAAGTATTGAATGGTGTAAGAGAGATCTCAAATACAAGAGCAGGAAGGAGAATTTTCATTCAAGATAGTGCAATGCATATCTGACGTCGAAGAAAACATCTCATCTTTTTGGGTATCAAAACTATGTCAACGACCGGTTTGTCCTGCTGGCTTTTTGAGTTCATACAACTCGAGGCCCTCATATATACTCTCGTTTATAACCTGTTAGCCTCGACCATGCCCTTTTAAAACACACTCCTTTTCTTCCACATCTCAGAGATTTTAAAAGCCCGAAGATCCACAAATGATTGATGTAATGTCCGTAACGCCTCACCATCCCAATCCGTTCCTTTTGCTTTTTCCGACCCTACAAAACTTCCTCCACCTCCTCCATAACCTGCACCGGCGTTGGCACCCCCTCACCCTCACCCTCACCCTCACTCGCCGCACCCTCCATCTCCACATTCCCATCCTCATCCTTCTCTGCCGCCCCCTCGTCAAAGAATTTCCTCACAATCTCATCCTCCCTCTGCTTCTCCAGCTGCTTCTTGGTCAGCTTCTTCGCCTTTTCGCCCTCGCCAAAGACGTCATTGTTGATTTCTTCCCATGGTTTCCTCCTCGTGTTGATCACCTTGGCGTGGCCCTTGCTCTTTTCGATCTTGGTGATGGTGCGCTCCATGACGGCCTCGGCCATGTCCATGCTTCTTTCCTGGCGCTTCCGGGCTTTGGAGCTGAGCTGGGCTTTGCGGCCGGTTTTGCGGGTGGGTTTGGAGACGGAGGAGGCGAGCTGGGCGGCGAGGACGGCGGGGCGGTGGTGGTCGGTGGAGATGGGGGGTGGGAGGGCGGATTTGAGGGATTTGTCCGTGTTGATGTCTATGGGCTCTTCGCGGCGGGAGGCACGGGAGTGTTTTGATGGGCCTGGAGGGGGGGGTTTAGTACATTCTGCGACTGCTGTTGGGATGGGTGGAGAATTACCTTTTTTGCCCTTGGAAATTGTTGGTTTGGCCATTGTGGAGTTTGTTGTAAACAGACCGAACTTTGCAGCGTATCGAGCAGAATGGCGCAGCAAAGGTTGAGGTCTGAGGGTTTGGTGATGATGGTGTTTGGTGTTTATCGGCGGGCGGAAATTCCTTATCGATGTGTATTTTCTTGCCAAGCCTGAATTTTTGGGTGGGGTTGTTGTGCTTGACGTTGCAGGGATGCAGCATTTGGCGTTTGCTAGCATCCCTGCTCCCCAGAAAATGGGACTGGAGAGCTTCAATTTTTTGACTTTTGCTGCCTGCAATGCGTTGGGACACTGGTCGCTTTGCAGCAAATAGGGACAAAGTGAACTCAATGTCTTCCGAATCGTCAACAAACACACCCTCGAGGCATCCCGATCAAGCCAGACGAAAACAATAACCGTCACAAAACAGCCGGAATGATAGAAGGGCTGACACTGGCCCCACCGCCGGCTGGGGTGTTCGTCCATTCAACTGCCAGGCGGCCAATTGCTGGCGTCAGATCCATCCCCCTCCCCTGTCGCTTTGCTCTTTTCCACATGCTGACTTCTTGTGACTTCTGGCTTTTGCATTTGAACGCCCACAGCTTTTTCAACCTCAACAGGTTACGGAGTACATTGCCATCGACAAACTCAAAAGAGGTCATGGAAGTAATTATATTCGCTCGTTAACCCTCACTTCCATTCGCTGCTGCTGCTGCTTCGTGATTGCGCAGCTTCCGTCCGCTCTGCAACGCCGCCACCAGCACCGACACCAGCTGCTCGCTCGCAGATCACAAACACAGCAACACCGCACCGACAATGAATACCGAAGCGTACCGGCGCATACTGGGCCAAGTGGAAACCCGCGTTGGCCTCGATTCACAACAGCATTCTACTTTGCGACAGCTCAAAGACCGCGCCGTTGGCCCGATAGGCATTATCATAACCCTCATCGTCGTCCTCGTCAGCTGGATCTATCAGATTGCTAAACGGCAAGGGAGGGTCCCTGATTTGTCACAGCTTATCTGGAAAATACTCGTGGCTATCACTCCGGCCAGGCTGCTTTACGCCATGGACGACTTTCTCAACCCCTCCCTGTTTCCGCGGCCCCCGTCGGCCGATAGACCTACGACTCATGAAGCTAAGAGCGATGTTCTTAAGAAGATGTTGGGCTTGGAGACGGCGGCAGGAATTTTGAACTCGGGCATTGAAGCGGGGCGCAAGAGCTTGACTACCCTGTCCACTGCAGCGTTGAATCTGGCACGTAAAAGCTCGCCAGACCAGCCTCCGGGACTTTTGAACATGGACAACTCTTGCTTTCAGAACAGTATCCTTCAGGGACTCGCGTCTTTGAGGCCCTTTCCAGGATATCTCTCAGCAGTCTCTTCAGCCATGACTTCAGCCGACAGCTTCACGATCAGCAAGCTTCATAAGCTGGTTCTGGATCTTAACAACCTGTCGAACAACGGGAGAACGCTGGGCACGCCGGCCGTTTTGAAGAAGATGAATACCTGGCAACAACAGGATGCCCAGGAATACTACTCCAAGCTTCTCGATCAGATCAGCAAGGAGGTCGCAAAAAGCTTGAAGAATCCTCAGAATTCCCCGGCATTAGAGCTTGATTGGTCGCGCGACGACTCGGACTCGAGCCAACACAGCGATGACAGCGGGTACCATAGCATGGAGAGTCAGTCCAAGTATGGGCAAGATATCTGCGTGACTCGAAACCCCCTGGAAGGTCTCATCGCCCAGCGTGTAGCATGTGTCTCATGCGGCTACTGCAGTGGCCTGGACATGATTCCCTTCAACTGTTTGACCCTCAACCTTGGAAAGCGGATGGAGCATGATCTTTATGAGAGACTGGATGCCTATACCAGCCTTGAGGCGATCCAGGACGTCGAGTGTACCAAGTGCACCTTGCTTAACTCCCGCAGTGGTCTCCAGGCTCTCGCGGAGCGAGCCAACATTCCTGGTTTGGCGGAAAGAATCCAGATTATTGAGGAGGCGTTGGAGGAGGAGGATTTCAAAGATGATACGCTGAAGAAGTGCAACATCCCTCGGACACAGCGGAAGAGTTCTACCAAGACTAAGCAAACGTCTATCGCCCGTCCACCGCAAAGCTTGGTTTTCCACATCAACAGGTCGGTGTTTGACGAACGTACTGGTCGGTTATACAAAAACGGAGCAAATGTTCGGTTCCCCATGGAGCTTGACCTGGGCCCTTGGTGTGTTGGGAGTGCGGCAGGCCTGACGGGTCGGGATCTGAGTTCGGATCGGGAGGAGTGGATTACAGACCCTCGCTCGTCGATGGTGGCGGGAGGAGAAAGGACGTCCCGGATTACCGGTCCGATATACACATTACGGGCGGTGGTTGCTCACTATGGTAGACATGAGAATGGGCACTATGTCTGCTTTCGGAAACACCCCAAGTCATCATCACCGCCAGCGGCGGCACCAGAAGTGGGAGGAGCGACGGATGAGCCGCCTAAGCTTGCGTCGGAGAAGGACATGTCTGCGGATGCACCCTCGACACCGGTGACTCGTGGGACTCTGGAGGAGGATCTGGAGGAGGAGCAGTGGTGGTCACTGAGTGATGAGGATGTCACCAGGGTGGATGAGGATACGGTGCTGGCGCAGGGCGGGGTGTTTATGCTGTTTTATGACTGTGTTGATCCTGAGCAGACTTTGATGACTGCTGAGCTTGCGAGTTGTGATGAGATGCAAGAGGGGGGGGTTCAAGGGCCGGTGTCGTCGTTTTTGAAGGTCGATGGTCCAGAAGGGGAAATCCAGGGGCCGATGTCGTTTTTGAAGGTTGATGGTCCGGAAACGCCGGCGATATCAACGGAGGGTGATGCGTCGTTGTCAGAAGCTGCGGCGATACCGTTACCTGACGGCAATGATAGTGACTACTGATTGTTCATGGTGGATAACTGGGTGTATTTTGCATTTTTCTTTCTACACAGCGATGGTGTTGGGGCTTTTTTTGGGGGGATATACCATGGGCTTTATTACACGAGCCAAGACAAGTATTTTGCTTTTTTTTATATCATTCTTGAACTTGGATCAGATCAGGACATAAATGGACAACAACACAGCGCTGAAGCGTTTCAACATTATTAGCCGGTGGGTGGGGAAATGGGACAGATGGATCGAGGATGTTATATGTACTTATTAGCTTTGCTTCATCAGCGAGTTCAACAACTATTAAAATGAATGAGAGGCAGCGATGAAGATGATTATTAGACAAATGTTGTGTGTTGTGCGACGTTGCAAATCAAGATGTGTATCTGTGTGTGTGTGTGTGTATCTGTGTGTGTGTGTGTGTGTGTGTGTGTGTGTGTGCGTGTGTGTGTGTGTGTGCGTGTGTGCCTGGTTCCAAGATGCTACAGTTGTACGAGCTGCATACACCGCCGCACATGGAGATTACTTACACCTGGCACAGCACATGGAGATTATACCTTACACCTGGGCTCTGCCTGGTTTTGGGTCGGCTCGGTATTTCCAAGGTGTCGGATTTTCCGAGGGGTAGGTAGGTGGTTTAACGTTTGGTCGTGTGTCCAAACATGAGCGGATTGCGAGTTGTACATGGCTGCTTATCGTGAGTTTTTGGCGTAGGTATAACGGTACTAAACCTAAATTACCTTACATTAGCCTTTATAATCTTAAATTTCCGATCACAGCTTAGTCTGCTTATTTAAATTTTATTTTACTACCTTACCTTTACTTTTGTTCTATATTTGTGACGAACCCCTATCCAGAACCTCTGAAAGGGACTTTTGTAGGGCATGAACCAACAGACGGGAGGTGGTGGTGATGCTGACGTTACTTTGTGGGATTGGTATTTTTGTGTGACGAGGTGGGGAGAGTCAGAGGAGATGACTCCTAGACAGGTGTTTCTCACAATGATAACATCTTCAATGCAAGCAGAAGTCGTTGATATCAAGACTTGGGATAGACCCGCTGATCTGCGGATGTTAAAGAGTCCGCTTCTTTTTCTCGCCTATCAGGGTGTCATTTTTTCAGGGAGGGGGACCCCGCTGGGCTATCCATGATGCTATGTTTGGGAGGGGAAAGGGCGGAATTTCGAGAGCAAGATGTCCGGAACCGGTGATAATAAATGCAAAAAGATGTCTCTGGGAAAGGGATAAATTCAGATGAACCTGAAGGGGTGCAGGTGAGAAGGGATAATAAGCCTCCTAAGCTTTTTCTGCTATCATGACCCCTATTTCATGTGCCCCCTGGTTGCATGCGGTCCAGATTTCTCTACAACTTCTCAATGCGACATTGGTTGCACCATTCGTCCGTCCGCGCTGACGAATTAAAGGGTCCGATTTGAGAGTGTGCAGGGAAAAAAAACGCCTCCCCCCGGCCGTTGGATTTGGTGCTGGTGACAACTGGGGTCTGCTGGTTTTGTACCGTAAGCAGGGGTGGGTTTTGTCAACAAGCAAGAAGCTCAACACACTCTCGATGAAAAT